CACTGATGTTTCAACCCACGTTATCAAAGAGGTACGTGTGTCCAGGCAACACGTGTAGTTTCCAATGTACGATAGAAGGTACCCTAATACAGTATAAACTTCGCCCCTTAGGTATTTTAAGTTGTGTCCCATTGATATTGAATGGAGTCGATACTCCCGAACTTCTTTCACTTTCTGATTTCACGGTCGATTGACAACATCCATAGTATTCTCGTATACACCTTATACCAGACACGAAATGGGACAGAGGGGTACCCCCCCCCACAAGCCAAATCCTTATACGCACTCAAACCTATTGTTACTTAATAACACATCCCCCCTAGATGCCTGAAAAGAATTCCTGAGATACCAGTATAACAATGACGAACACAAAGCCAGGGGGTTCTCTCTGTCCCATAGTTTGCGTCAAATGTTTGCGAAAATGTCGGAATGCATGAGGGGCCTCTAACAGATTCGGTTCTCGAAGTATTCGAATATCAGCAGAGTTGTAATCGAGTACTTTTACAAGTGCTGAATATGGAACTGGTGAGGGAGGAATAATGCTCAAGCACGTAGACGTTTACAATCAGAATGGACAATCGTAAGATTACATAATAAATTTAAGACTCAGGCGCTCTCAGTTTTGTAAAATTAAATTTTAGGGAGAAAAGTATTCGAAAAGCAGTAGGCCGAGTACTTTTCGGGTGTTTTTGTTGAAAGAAATTTAATTATTAAACACTGAAGGTCTGAAATTATATCTTTATTTTGTAATCTTACCTTAGAAATGTTCTTGAGCTTTGTTTCCTCCTAACCAGTTCAAAATTTGCCGGTGGATTTAGAACTCGAAAAGTACTTCACAACAACACTGATACTGGTTGGGCGAATATCGAGTTCTCGAATATCAAAGTCTCGGTATCTAAATCTAATACAGAGTACTGCCGTCTAACTATTCATCATAGTGATGGCGCCTCGAAGGCTGTCCATTGTTACTTTAATTTCGTTACAATGAAAGCACAAAAGGTTTACATCAGCCCACCCTAATACACAAAGCCCTTGCCCTCTAATTCCGCCTTAACGCATAACCTGCATTCACACTGCCTCCTTCTCCTTTCTTCAACTCTCCCTGGCCCATCGCTTTCAATTCACCTCAGGGTTTTTAGCACTTCTCTTCGTTCTCTCTTGAATACTTGAGATCAAATAATTATGTTCTTGTGTTGGGATCGTAGTTGAAACTCTTATTTCAGTAGACGAACAGCGTCGGGTTCTAAGCCTTAGGACTACTATAAAAGGGAAGAATATACTCTAATCGGTTCAATCACGCCTTGACCGAGTAAGGAAAATGTACTCTCCCGTTTTCCATTTGTATCGCACTGACGAGATAGCACATCAAGACTGACGAAATAATTTGAAAAAAAAATTTGGTCATCACGTGATCTAAGTTCTCTGCGTATCTTCATAAGATTTTCCACATTTTCTGTTTCCCCCGATTATACATTCCAAACACATCATCACACGTTGCATTCCTATTATGTATGTCGTAACCCTGCACATCTGATTTCAAATTATGTTTAAAGGTCGTCAAACGTAGATAATTAGTTACTTACGGCAGCCTGTGTTGAAAAACGACACACTCAACCTCTGACAGTTTCGTTCCTTCGAGCTTGAATTCTGTCCAGCGCAGTCGGAGCGCGTTGAGGAGTTACTAGTTAGTCCCTCGCTTCACAGGCAGCGTGATTTCATAGCCTCAAGATGTCCCGGCATCTACAGTCAGCCTATACTGCCTCTTTTCCCGCCGGCGCGAAATTGCTTTTGCTTGCCACTACCCAGGGGGCCCACGTGCTCAGGCAGCCCCTATAGCAAGAGACCCAACGGTACAAGGCGTCTGTGGCCTGACCACGCTATTACGATGCACAGCAACTGCAGGGGGGAGCTGATTGCAGGGGTAATTAAATCAAATTGACACCTCAGGGGGGAAGGGGGAGGTCTGGTTATTATAGCCTATCGCTCGGGCGGTGTGCCCTCGGTGGAAATCGTGCATACGGCATGCAGTCAGATTCGGCGTGAGACCTACTGGTCCGGAAGTGAAACACCCAGGTGTTATCGAGTTGCGACGGCGGTGGTACACGGTAAACGATCCCGAAGTAGATGAAGACCTGAGTGTGATGCATTGCACAACGTGACACACAATTACAGAAGGGGCAAACGCTTTCGAAGTGCATTGTCGAAATACGGGGCTTTATGGTAACGTAGTCATTAAGTACACGCCCCTTGTATGGCGAGCATTCCTGACATTTCATTTCGCTGAGGCAGACCTAAATCGTTGATTATTGCAAATTGGGTACGACATACTGCGCCAGACGACAAATGGCATAGGCTAAAACCCTTATAGTATAGCATCTTTAAGATAGACGGTCTCTGCCCCTGAAGCCAATTATCAATTAAACATAATTCAGTTCTGTAGAATCAAACGAGGTCTTACTTGAATAAAACTAAACTGAGACCAATTTAAAGGAAGTTTACAAGAACGACTAATCAGGTCTGATGCTAATAACTCATCCTGGTAGTCTAGATACCTATTTTTATAATCGATATCTCTATATTTGCGGTTAACTGTCACGTCCCACGTTGACCAAGGTAGACTCGTATACGGATTATTCTTTAACTCTGTTGATAAATGACCAATGTCGACATTTTGGGGACACAGCTGTCAAGACGTAAGAATTTTTAAAAAGGATGAAAAGCTTCGGTTACTGTCATCCACGACGTATTTTCCTCGTGGACTACGATTCAAAGTGAATTATAACACTTTATGCGAGTGGATGTAACAATTTCAATGTAGCATTTTCGTGACCCCGTTCACGAGCCCTCTGGAGTTGGCGTGCACCTCAATTTTCATTCAACATTTCCTCCCTCCGGAGTGCAACTAACAGTTGGGCGGAAAAGACGAAGAGTTTTCACCATAACAACCAGGGTGGCAGAAATGGCGTCATGCATGACACGTTAGTGCAGATCCAAGGTTTACCACCACACAACAAAATCAGTCAAATTACTTTGCAATCCGTCTCCAAGTTATTTCTACGTCGTCGGATGGGACCTTGATATTTTGTGTTCCATTTCAGCTCCGTCGCGTCTGCTTCTCTCATATTAGGTGCACGCAAACCGCGATCTGTACACAGAGATGACTAAGACCTATATTAAGAGGCCAAAGATCTGGAACGATGCGTGGGGGGGGAATCATGTTTGGATCAGCATAAACGGCGAGACGATTGGTTTCTTATCTTCACATCACGATGAACATGGATCGACGCGGCGTGTAGATCACGAACTAGGGTTGATTGGAATCGCGGTATCCCGGGTATCCCGAGCAAGCGAAGCTTCGCCGGGAAATGTCGTCAGCACGCACCCGCTATCGGGGAAAGGGGGGGGGTTGGTAATGCACATCGCCTCATTTCATTATCGCATGCTCACAGAAACCAGGATACGCGACATTTATGGCGACCTTTACTTAGTTCCAATGTTATTTCCATTAGTGGTTTTCAGTGGCGTAGCTTGGATTTACCGTAGTGAGGGACACAAAGGGGGCACCAGCATCTTATGGCGGGGGGCACCAGCTTTCAGTGGTGTGTTTTTTTTCAGTGGGGGGGGGCGCCTGGGGGCATAAGGAATTCGTGAGGGGGCACGTTCCCCAAGCCCCCCCCGGCTATGCTACTGCTGTGTAGCAATATCAACTACTGAAGTGGTCAATGTAACCACGATGTACGCACCAACGAAGTGTATCAACGAAAGCTGGTTATTATCAAGGCAATAAACGCTAAAAAACAAAGCATCCAGTTGTATAATGTCAGATGACTAATTTCTGACTGGACCAACAGAAAGTGTTTAAAAACCATGCACCTTTGCCCAACTACAATGAGGTTTCAATCATTGAAAACTGATCGCCTTTATCAGTTTTGTTTGTTGAAAGAAACTCCACCCCTACCGATTACGAAAAGACGAATTTATCACGGTGCGTCTGCAAAGGGAACAACGACGCTTTCAACACAAGTCGTAACCTGCAAACAAAGATTACAAAACAGCTGAGGATTGCACGAAATGAGCGGCCAAACCTAAGTGGCTGTCAAAGTTAATTATGGGTAGAGATAGGGGAGAGAGATACCATTTTCTTTCTCGTGAGTTTCGGTAGAGGTTATCTGCGATTAGAAGCATATTAAAAGTTACCGGGGAAACAATAAAGATATGATATGCTGAAAATATACATGTATATCACCCCACGGGAGCGATTGTATAATGATCGGGCTCAGTGTTCACAGTAAATCATCAACAAGGGCCCCAGTCTGCTTTCAGCACCCTTTCTGCACTTTTTTCAACTGAATTTTTGTACATTTGGCAGGAACACAGGCGAAGGACAATAACGGTACGTCACTTGATAGGTTTTGCGTTTTTCCGAAGCGCTTATAAAGGAAAGAATTTAATTTCTCCCAGCGAAGGATCTCCTAAAGGTAGAGAAATTCCGTTTTCACTTTGTAAACAACATCGTGATTGTGATGATCTGCTATTTTGATTCAGAGCCGCTATTCGGTCGGTAAAGAGACTACCCAATATGTTTACAAAATTACATGTAGGCCTAATCGAAGTTCCTAGTGCAAAGCACGGACCCTTGTTCCGTGCCCCTCATAACCCCAAACATCACAAATGGTATTTTGATAATTTATATCCGGGTGCTGGTAAAGTAACAAAGTTTACTGATATGAAGAATTGATCTAGACTTGTATTAAGTCGGCAGCTTGTCAAAGATGAGGCCTTTATCACAAAAACTTTGGCACGTAGCCTATGGCGTGTTCTTGTTTTCAAAACAAGCTTCAACGTCTGAAGCGTCTCTAGCTTTTACGAATCACTTCGCTCCGCGTAAAACGAAACAAACCCGAAAATCAGTATTATGATATATGGCCGGATACGGCCGACTTGGAAATATAAGTTGAGTTGCTTTTGTAGACGTCAATAACGATTTAAGGAGTCTCTTGGCATGAATTTTCTAACGAGGTTCCCATTAGCTCTACTTGGGTGTGTTTTGTTGGGACTTTGCATAGTTGTCGGGGGTAAGTATCATCGTGCTGCGGCCGTCCGCAGCATGGTATCGAGGAGAACATGCGTCAAAAATTCTGTCATGGGATAGGCTCGGCGAGCGCCGGCATTTTGCGATACGGCAAGAGATCAGAGGAACGCCGAGAAATTCTACCAGGGTAAAGTAATCAAAGGACAACGGCTGAACCATTCTTTCGATAAATTATAGGGAAAAGAGGAAAGGGGAGATACCAAAGACAAGTTGATCTCCCGAAATAACCAAAAGTCGCTTCAACGCAAAATCTCATAAATGCTGAAGAATACTTATAAGAGAAGCTTTAATTATTCAATCTCTGTGGTCTTTTCCGTCTGGCAGAATGGTGAAAAAATGACATTTTAAAACTCTCGGGCTGCAAACAGGACAACTATGCACAAAAATGGACGATTTTTGCCCTGCAGTATGAAGACCTGTAACTGTATCCACTGACAAGAAAACAACCATCTACATCTCTGTGTTCTCTGACTTTCATTGAGATCGGGAAAAAAATTACAGCAAAATGTGAAGGGAATTTCCTGTTATAACTTCGGAGAAAGAGAGGGGTTTGAACAGTCTCCTCGTCGTCGTTTCCTCCACTGTAGCTTCTATTATCCCTCCAGGTAACAGTCATGACCGGCCTCCGTGCCCGACCAAATCCCATTCCTTCTTCTTCATGGTTGGCTCCGCTAAATGCATAAGGTTACCGAGCTGTTCCCACAGCAACTGCATCGCGGGGGAAGAGTGCCGATGCACCGACTGCGGTCTTCGCTGCGGTGAGCATCACCTTTGGATATTGCGCACTTTTTGCCGTTTCATTTGTAGGTTGTAACCCCAATATCCATGTCTCAAATGATTTCGGGAGTATTTTTTCACCAACTTTTCGATTTTGCTTTTACCTATCCCCCTCATGATAATTAGAAACGCTATGCCCAACGTCCGAGCGCGACTTCCAATTCATCGGCCACAAGGACGGACCGTGCAACCGGCCGGGATGTGACGGTGGCGCACTGTGCTCGGGCCATACCGAGGTGTGCCTGTGTGTGTCCGGTTGTGGGCACAGGTGTCTGAAGCTGTCCGATCGTCAAACTCCCCCCACCACACAAGGTACGCTCACATATATTTAAATGGATGCGTTTATTTTTTACCTCCAGTTTTGTTGCTGTTATTTGTTTTGCTTACAGTTCTTGTTTGACATTCAAACCATGTTTTTAAGTTCGGGGGCAACCGCTAGCAAGCTACACAGCTTCCCGAACTATTATATTGAGTAGTATAACACTGTGCTCCCATTTTACGTACAGCAAAACGACAGCCACTATTTTCCCCCAATTTCATCTTTACTATACAGACCAATGAGAATTCTTTTTAGATAGCCTTGACGCTGGAGTACATTTTCGGCTTTCTCAGCGACAAAAAAAGTTGCAGAGAGTTTCCACATTTTGGTATTTTCTCTTCTTTGGCTTCTTTCTCTTCGTTGCTGCGGAAATATTCGGTAGCAGTCCCATGAACATCCCTTTCTCGTTAATGTTTTCACTGGGCACATTGGTGCTCGCGATTTCAAAAGAATCTCTCTAAAACCGAATTCCTTCCTAGAATGACATTACATCAACAGTTCCCCCAGTTCTCCTGAAAAGCATTAAAAAAAATTGTTCTAATAATGCTAGTCCGTTTTTATTCATTTAAGAGGTACAGACTTAACATTTGTTTAAACTATGTGAAGAATAAAACAGCATTGCATGAATCCTTTAATGTACAGAGCCTAGGCCCTGTGAGCAGACAAGCGGCAACGGGAAATTAGTTATTCTGGGCGGGCTAAGGCTCAACCGGGATGAAATGTGCAGGGGACTGGCCCATTGCAGCAGCCACGACGACTGCCCGGACCATCAAAGTTGTACTTGCAACAGCATATGCGGACTGAGGTGCCTCAACAAGATGGTGCCAGACCAGCCGACGACAAGCCGTCCAGGTAGGCAGTCGACTGTAGTCTTTAATTCTACAGCCGAAATCACGTTGAGTGTGGAGAGAGTCACGGGCTAAGCCAGGACATCCAATTCCAGGGAAGGGCAGTTGTTGTCAGTCATAGGAAGTCTTTACCGGTTTTCAGATAATGTCCACATGTCTCAGAACAAGGAGACACGGGGGTTCCGGTGTTAAGATGAGGATAGTGGCTAGGAGAAGCAAGATAAACCGACCAATCTTGAAGCTAATAGCTGTGTCATTTGCTGAAGCTGGTCTCGTGGGAAAAAGATGTACCGGTAGTCACCACTCGGAGTTGCTTCCATTGTGAGGTTGCAAGAGCAATTCAAATCGACGTTCATAAGTTCTGACAAGTTTCAGATTGATAAAGTTGCTGCTTTGATACTCTCCATCCATTAAAACCCAAAATGTCCGCAGAAAACGACTACCTGCATGCAATCACCATTCACCAGTATCACGTCTATAAGCTAGAAAGACACTTTGGTCAAAGAATGGGAAAATACGAAGCTTTCTAAAGAACAGGACTTTCGCTGAAAAACCTGGCGCGTACTTGAAAAACTAGACCTTTGATTTGGACGAAAGGGGAAGTTGCTATAACCGACACTTTGACGGCACGGATCTTCATTTGGCCATCGAATCCCCCACTTTGTCAGCAAGACTGACAGTTAGCTGACCAAAACCGGCACACTAAGCAAAACCAATATTTCGACGACGAAAAAGGAATTTAGTCCTTAACTTTGCAATACGCTGGTACCCTACCGAAAAAGAAAACGAAAAACTCCGAACAAGGTCGGCTTTGGGTGGACGATAAAGTTTTGTCTGGAACTCTAGTATCGTGCTGGCAAAACCAGCACTTTTAAACTGGAACTCTGACAGCAAGTGTCACAAAGTGACCAGCACAAAGACCACCTGAATACTGTTTTCCCAAGGCAATCTTGCCAACATTCACTGAAAAAAATGTCTGAAATTAAGTCTGACCAGTTGACGTCAACCCGGTCTTTGTCAGTCAGAAATACCAACCAATTATAATATTTCAAAATCCCATTACAGCTCATACTACATCTTCGGGCTTCTCGCGCTTGACCTGTAGCATCAACAAGACAGGTGATCCAGGCTGCCGACGGAAATGGTCCCTCTGTCGCCGCTACAAGCACCGTCACGTGTGCGGCAGTGACGGGCGCACCTACCGGACGCTCTGTCACTTCCGAGAGCAGAGGACCGCAGGAGTTGACGTCGCCCACCGCGGGCCCTGTCACCCCGAACACCAACACATAGCCGCAGGGGGATTCCGTGATGGGTGCAAGGGTACCGTTGAACACGGCGGAGGTCAGACCAACGACACGGAAACTGAGGACACGGGTGAGTTGGAGTTGCTGAATTGAGATAGGGATTGGTTAGGTGATACTCCACAGAGATTTGTTGGAATGGTTGCGTTGAAGAGAACATGACGGGGGTTGAAACGTCAACTGGCAAAGTGATCAAGTTGAGACGTAGTTAGTGTGTGACGAAACACAGTGTGGCCGGCCCTTCAGAGAAATCTCTATTCGCTGACTTCCTCCTCCTCCGTTGGATGTTTCAGACGATCAGGGAAGTAGAGAATGTTCCAGTCACGGCCCGTTACCGACCGAGTCCAGCACTCCTCCAGACAAAGAACTTGCAACCACCTCGGCGTGCGACGCCCTGCTGCCCTGCAAGGACGACTCGGACTGCCGGCGGGGATGCGAGATCTGCCGCTGTTTTCTGGGTTGCGGAATGAGATGTGGAAACCCCGATACTGATGATACGCCTACAGCAGCTGGTAAATTACACTTGGAATCGATAAGTTAGACAGCATATAAGCTACTGTACCCGAGTTAAGTTTCAGTGCGAGTGGTTATGAAATGAGTTGCAGCCTAAACAATGCTCAAGGCTTGGCTGCAAAACGGGATCTAGCTCGGGTCACGCATTATGTTTCAATTCGCAAAGTACTCTTTAGCAGGCGGCATCGTTGTTCTCAATAAAACCAGCACCCTTGATTTTCTCACTGAAGTTATGGAACACTGCGATTCAGATTTGCTTCTCATTCTTCCACATTTTGTTGAAGATAACGCTCAAAACTCCGACCCTTCCGATAGCACAACTACCTCAGCTGGTTCCAACTTCACGACACATGCTGAAATCCGTAGCCACGATACCTCAGCAACCGACCCACCTCAAGCTAACACCGGACACGGACAGCCGCCAGGTACTACAGGGACGGTCCAATATTAAGCCGCTCGTCGCTAACCGGTGGATGTAGACGTAGGACTGTGTTCATGCGATCCAACGACGTCCAAGGCTTGAACAATTCACGGTCCGTTCGGGGCACCCCAATGGATACATCACTTCATCAAAAAACAACTCTGCAAATTATAGTTTTTACAAATTACGTAATTTTGATACTCAATATACATGTATAAATCCTTAAGTTTAAGGTGAAAATTTGAAAACGTGCCCCCGTGTAATGTATAGTAATGGTCGGCTGGTGCACCAAGTCAGATTTTTTTCATAACATTCCATTCCCTTCCCATGTTGTTAAGAAACCTCCTGATTATGCACAAAACCACACCTCTCCGAAGATCGCTTGCACTTTCCGTCACGTTATATCCCACAATCCTTTACGGCCACCGTCTTTGGGGTCTCGCGTCCCCGCGCGCAATTTAGGCAACACTTTCCAATCTAAAAAAAAACCCGTTTTGCGCTCACGTACAGAGATCACTGCGGATGAAGAACCCAATTATGTACAAGTGTTGTAATCAAGAGTCGCTGTAAGACTAGATACTTACGTCGTTGATGAAGGATAAAAGAGATTCACGGGAAAGTAATGACGTCAGTGCAAACGGTCAATTGTGCTCACCCCTCTGTTACGGGGGAATCTGTGGGATATTTTACTTAAACGTGCAAGTGTGTCGGCCTTAAACTGTGCAAGGGGTGGCATTACCGACATGCAAAGACAGGGTACGAGGTGGTGATGCTCGGGAGTATGAACACATGTATATTCAGTTTGTTGCGGGAAGGAGGACGTGGGTGGGACCATTAAAGCTGTAAATACCATCAAAACTATTGCACAGTAAAACCCTTAAAGATTGCTAGCTGGATTCTTTGTCCAAAAAAAATACATGTTTATACGTCAACAGTAATATCGTTTACGTTATTTTTGTTTAATCTAGGCTTGTGAAGAAAAAAAGGTCACCGATAACAGTGACCCACATTAAACTTTGGCACTGCATCCTTTGTCACAGTGATGGAGAAGTACGGAAGAAATCCGGAAGAATGTAGGGCCTACTGTATTTAACCATTCGTACGGCGGTCCGACTAACATTCGTATGGCGGTCCGACTAACCATTCGTATGGCAGTCCGACCCACAAAATAATGTAGGCCTCATAATCGAGGCGAATGCTTACTAAAGAAACGAATATAGCAGATACGTATATTTACTCAGGTACATGAACTATTAAAGTTCATTAGTCTCAATCGAATATGCACCTAGGTAAATAGGTGAGGGTGAAACAGTTCTGCTTTGATACGGGATGCCGAACTGGTCTTGACTGATGTACAGGATATCATTGTATAGAATGCTTTCAAATTCGTCAACTTTACCTTTCGTGGTACAGTTTTCTTAGCGCACAGAAGGTAGTTTTTTTCGCAGTTAATACTGCCATTCGATATAAATTGTAAACCAGGGACCGTGTCCCAACAAAAACCGCTTCAGTTGCTGTATAGATGTGAAGTGATTAGAGCCCTCACCACATGTTCTATTTGCTCTCAACGGCTGTTCTGCAAACCCAGTCTTCAGGGCTAGGGATTTATTTTAATAGTATTGAGCGTTCTAAGAGTCCCTTCCACTAGTAAAGTCACCCATGGTGCTGTAAAAATCCAGGAGGCATTCTTTCAACCCGAAACACGCACTGCTGAAACAAACCAATACACTTACTATGGAAAGATGTCCAAATGCCCAACTGAACACCGAAATAAACACTCGATCTACGCTTTGTATTGTGGCTATGGGCGTAAATCCGGGGGGGGGTATATACCTCCACACCGCTTCATTGAGGTGGTGGGGTAGGCTATTGAATCACCCCCCCCCCCACACACACACACACTCTCTCTCTCTCTCTCTCTCTCTTGTGTGAGCAAAAACATTAAAGCGGTTTGTGAAGAATTTGTTTAGATTTCCAACGATAAAAATGCATTCGATATCACTCAAAAAAGGAAAACCAGTTTGAAAAAGCCATAAATAAGCCATTTTGAATACATAATTACGGATGTATTGCACATTGACCTCTACATAGAGTCACATGGTGTAATTCCCTCCCTCACTTTTCAAATTTTCATGTTCGGGCAAAGTCACCCCCCTTCCCCCTATTTTCGGCACAAATTTATGTCACTTCATGCTTCTAGCCTGTAGTCATAGAGGCGTCCTTCGGGAATTTCAGAGGGGATCAAGACGATGTTTATGCACGATCAACGCACAAAATCAGCGCGCAACTCGAAAAAAAAGAGGTTTCTGCAGCAACTTTCTCTTTCGTACTTAAACTTCAAAATGCACCCAAGCGAAGGTTTGAAAGGATATGCGTCAACAAGGAGAAACGTATCGGTTTGTTTTGTTCAGAGTACACCTCTTTCTGGTGTACTTTGAGCAAAGTAAGTTGATAAATTTCTTTCTTGTGACCTTAACTACCGCAGTGTCTATGCAGTTACAGTCTAACATTTGTCAATACAAAGGGTTGCATAAGTTCGGGGCAGAGCCCGAGTAGAGCCCCGTTATCTGCGAATCAATACATGTATCAAAGTTTATTTACTCAAAAAGAAATGTTGAAACTGGAGCATTAGTTCCGTTATTTAATCAGGTTTTTTTGGGTAACAAAATAAACCTTTGTGAGATAGGCTCCCGAATTTTTGTTGCTGACGATGAATTGAACGAGCGGAGTATATTGTTACGAATACATGTACATCAATTTATCTTTTTCACGGGGCAAAATCCTATCACACTAAAAGTCAAACATTTCAGTTTAAAGAACTGGAGTAGAAAATCACCACCTTTCCGACGGGTCAACCACACTGAGCTGATCAGCGAAACAAAAGACCTGAGCGATCTCCGTGAAACATGTTTTCGTCTTTATTTCTTTCCTTATAAAACGTTGTTGTGCGTGACATGTCAGGCCCAAGGGAGTTGTTGCCAAGTATTATAGAGCGCCCTCTATCATTTACGGGCGAGCCAATACACGTGTGGGAATCGTTATCCTCATAGGAGGGCCGAGACATACTTGCCTCATCGTTTTTTTTTGGGGGGGGTTCTGTAATGGTTTTATAAGTTGACATGAATGTACATTTATTTCGGGGAGGTGCAATTTGTTGATATACATTAATGACAAATATTTAACGGGTACAAAATTCCACACATTTTGCACTTCCCTCATTGTGTAAAAAGGAAGCAGAAAAGAACCATTAATCAGCAGAAATAAAAAGGCCCCAGAGTAAATCTAGAGGCTTTTTAAATGCCTTTACTTTGCTTGTTCTGTGATAGCGAAAGAAGCACTAATGCCCAAACAACAGAAAACTGTGTCATAACATTCAAAAGGTCAGGATTGTTGGTTGTTTATTCAGTCAACGCAAAGTCCACTTCCTGGCTGGATGTAAACAATTTTTTTTTCATAGTCTCTTGGAAGTGCATTGCCGGGATACACAAAATGGTTCCAAGGCTGTGGAGCTCCCCGATGGCCGACTGCTTCTTCCTAGTCTGTGTCCGAGCAGACCTATCGATGTGTCTGGTTCCACATCCCATTAATTTAGGCCACGCGTGTCATACATGGAGCAGGGGACTGTCCACAAAGCGAATGACACTGTTCAACCTGTCCTGGTCCTTTTCTACGACCAACCTTTTCACAGGTCTGAAACAATGGCCGCCATCCTCAGCATGACCCCCCCTCCTCTCCAGGCTGTGGCCTGACAGTGAGCCAGGATTGGTGGAAACACCCCTCTGAAAGTTGGGGCTTCAGGGGTGGACGAGCCCGGGCAATCACTGTGCCCCTGCCTCGTCCAAGTCTTCCTCTGCCAAAATGGCATCGATCTTCTTTCTGGAAACCACAAGAAACAAATACCAAAGGGGATTGGAAAGGATTAGTCAGGCGTGCTCTGAGTTGTACGAGGGTAAGGTGGTGACATCGAGAGGTGATTTTGCCCTATGTGATACAGTTGCTTAGCAACAGAACACCATGTTCTTCAATGCGTGGAGTCCGCCATGAAAACTGTAAGCATTGACAAAAACACATGATTTTTGGGAGGGAAGGGACAAAATCTTAAACAGCCGTCATTACAGCGACGATATGATCTTCCAAAATGCTCTTGGGGCCTTGCTCTGAGCAAGAAGGAAATCTTGTACTGCAATAGACTATTGACAAGAACACAATATAAAATCAGTGCTCTGAAACATGTTTAAGAGCATTGATTTTATATTATATTCCTGTTAACATTCTGATCATGGTGCTATGCAGCCGTTCCATATTTCACTGAAATAGACCACATCTGTTTGACTTTTATTCATTAAACTAATTTTCTATGGCCAATACACGTATATCTAAATTTCGCCGAATTTTCTCGCCCGGTTTCATGTCATAAGGACCTCTTAATGCAATATTTCAGTAAGGACCTTTTAGCTCTGACACAATGACATGACCCTAGGCTGTACTTAAACCTCTTGGGCTTTTTTCTCCTACTGAAAACATTTTGGTTGGGAAGTTTGAAAAATACTTCAAAATTCACCTTCTTTTTTCTCACCACGAAAGAAGTAGGGGGATGATCCAATAGCCCATCCTCCCCCGTCAAGAAAATGTGTGAGGGGGGCACTGGTGGAAAGAGAGGGGGGAGGGGGAGTGGCCCCCCACTTTTTTTCGACTGGGGGCATGCCCCCCCCCTGCCCACTGTTTGCAGAGTCAATAATAGGGTGGGGCTTAATGGATCGGCCTATTAATGGCTGATGCCTGATGGTCTAACACCTGGCCCTCCCCCCACTTTGAAAATTGTTCCGCCAGCACGGGGAGGGGATATAACCTATCCCCCGGGATTTATACCCTTGATCTGATAGATCCCTATCTCTCCAAAGGCACGAGGAAGATAAACACAGCAAAAAACTCACTATTCAGTGATGCTGCAGAGGCATCTTACTACAAATGTCTGAATGTAATTAGTAATGAGTCAGTTTTGATACAAGAACAGTGGCAACGAAGAACTTGTGAGGACCACCAAACTCACAACAGCCCACTGAGAGAAATCTGATTTGGCTCTCATCCAAGTTTTTCCTCTTGACAGCAATTATCAATTAATGCAAGTTATAGCCACATTTCAGTGGTTGGCAAATATCGGATTATCGGTCTGAAATGCGGGTCAAGCATCAACAAACGGGTGGATTTTGAAACTATACTGGGGACCCAACTGCCAAGACTTTGTCACGCAAGTCCTATTTTCGCTCCCCCAGTGCTGGGAAATGAAAAAAAAAAATCATCCATTGAGCCCAAGTTTAAAGTGGAGCGGTTAATCAAAAAATGCGATAAAAATGTAACTAAAGTTTATCGCAAAACGAGATTCAAAGGAACACCGCTATTGCCGGTTACAGCTTTTGAGGCGACAGGTTGTACTATTATTGCACAAGCATCTTGAGAAAAAAGAAACACTACAGGCAGGTTTTTAGGGAAAAACACTACCTACCTCTCTTGGGGAAGAAGGGTCAATTGACCTTTGACCCTGTCAATAAACTGCAGTGCCAGGGTGGAACTAACACTTGAAACAAACTGTAAACAACTCTAAGAATAAAAGTAGAAAATAAAATGAATGTTAGTTCGGAAAAAAAAAAATTGTCAGTAGTGGCGAACAACTCCAGAAAAAACTAGAGGAATGTGGCTGTGAACAAACACAGAGCTGCTTCAGATTTAGAGCCTTTCCTAAACATCATTTCTATAGTTTGTGAGGTATTTAATTCCGAGAAGAAAAATCTTTTAGGAAAGGTGATTCCAACAGACCAGTCACTTGGACAAGTCCTTGCTTTTTTCTCAGACCGCAGATGCTGGAACGAGCACGAACTGCGCGGCACAGGGCTTTTCCTCACTTGTGCCCTGGTAGCTGCCCCAAGTGTGTGTACATGTATAGTAGGCACCATACTGGGGGTAAAGGTCACCTTGTACACAAATTATATCGGACGATCTTACTTGTAAACAGCGCTATTACTTCATACTTGGCTCTTAAATACAGATCGTGGTATCATGCACATATATATCTGAAATTACTGATTTGAAATTTACAGTTTTTCTGCAGAATTCTAAAGTAATTGGACTTAAGTTCCAGAAATTATGACAGAAAGACAGTCTAGTATGCATGCAAATTTGTACACATAAAAATGGTGAAAAACTAGTACAAAATCAACGAATGGGGTCATGATGATGCCACTTCAGACGTGCAATCAGGATTGACTGTTGACTTACTGAGTGAATTTCATAATGATCAGACATTGCCTAATATGTAGAATTCAAATCGCACATTAAGGTGATGTCATCATGATGTCACCAGATTTTTCAACAAATGGATATCTAAGAGACCTGCAGGAGGTCTACCAAAAGAATTTTGAAAAAAAAATTGATTTGTTTAGGAGAGATGTCAAAAAGAATGTCAAAATGGCAGAAATTTCAAAATCGTCAAAAAATCAGGTGATGATGTCATCATGATTTAACCCCAAATTTTACATGTAACACATCTGGATTTGCTTTGATGCAGAATTTCAACCCACTGGGACAAATGGTTCCAGAGATACAAGCCCGAAAACAATTCAACTTTGTAGGTTTGTTATGTGACAAGTGATGACATCTTGTAGGACCATCCTTGGATGGTGGTCTAAGTACATGCAAAGTTTGAGGGCAATCATTCTTACTAAAGTGCCAAAGTGCTATGGCGGAAGGATTACTGAAACAAAAACACCAAAAAAAACGGTTATTGTTAAAAATTGGATTTTTTCTTTATCAACATGTCATTATTCTGTGGGATATTCCATTTTTTTCTATCAGGTTTCATGACCTAAAGCATGCCTCTCTTAATCCTATTAACACCAACTTGTGTACTGTGGAGAAGTTCTCTACGCTGAAACATCCAATCTTCTGACGGGGGTCATGTTTTGACTAAGTAAAAATCCTCCTAACCCCTATCCTCCCACCAGCTGTGCACTGGACGTGTTTTGCGTAATTACACATTTTTCCCCTTCTTAATCCTAATGTTTTCTCCCAAAAATGCTGCAGACCATCTGTGACATTGTTGGAACTTGGAAAAAGAAAGGCATTTCGAGGGTTTTGTGTTCCTCTCTCTTGAAAAGTGTCCTGTACTTCACCATCGCGACACAGAGAACAAAAACTAGAGCTGCTTTGGCAGTGTAGCTGAAGCAGCTAATGACGGGCACATTTAAAAAAGGGAAATTATTCAATCGACTCGGGAATAGTGTCAAAAGAGCACTATGCAGAGGACGAGAACACTGATTGAAGGTGGCATATCCAATCTGGCATGGCACATGAGTAACGGGGTATGCGTAAATCAACCTTAGAACACAAAAAAGATACGTCCGTCAACCCAAAAACAAATGCAGAGATCTCATGGATCTCCACTATGTATGCCTGGCCCAGAGTTAACTTAATATAGTGGTATGAAAGAGATATAAGCCAGGACGTGCCCAGTGAACACAACGGCGATTCGCATCAACGGCATTCGCATCAAACCCAACATGGCAAACAAGACTATTTCCGACGGTGGCCCGGTGCAAAGCTTGTCAAACCGCTGACAGAACTGTGACAAATGTTATCGGTGCTAAACTGATGGGCAACCTTCCAAATTACATAAGACTTTACGACGAGATCGATCAACCCGAAGATATAGGTCATCAATAGTGGAAGCCTTTGAGAGCGACACTCAGGACCTGCTCTTGGCACATGTTCATAAAGTCTACAAGGTTTTTGTCTTCCCCCCCATTTATCTATCTGATAGATCAGATCTATCTGATCTGACAGTGTGCCTGTGAGCACACTGTCAACTTTACATCAGAGGCTCCCAATGGTATATGCTCAATTTCTCCCATCTAGTTTCTTCTGCACTACCTTGCCAACAGCAGCAAATTGTTCACTCCGACGGACCACTGAAGGGGGGGGCTTCAGTGAAGCTCAGTGGCATCAAGGCACGCCTTAGATTCTACTTTTAAGTGCTAAGTCTACATATTTATCATATTTTCAAGTACACTTGCAGCGGGAACATTAGGTTATGGTGACGTTGGAATTCACGAGAGTGGTGCGTGGGCAGCCTCGACCCAGGAAGAACCTGTACACCAAGTCCGGAGTTCAACAGTCCAGCAAGGAGCTTTTGTTTTTCCTGCATTCAGGACTGCGTCTGTTAGTAGGCACAGGTTGAAATTGTCTCTGTTGAGTAAATGAAGCCGCTGTGACAATAGACCGATTGCCCCCCGCTAAAGTCACGTGACCTATATTAGGTATTTCAAGATCAACAAACACGGCGTCCACCAAAAGCAAAGTGTTTCATCAGAATCATTTATCGAAAATAAAGCCGATGATAAACAACAGTCCAAACACACAACAACAAACAGATGCACACCTATTGTAGAATTAAACGGTCCCAATATTGGGTTCTGTAGTTCGGTCAGCATCAAAGCTTGAGTTTACCAAATTCTTGGTTTGTCTCTTAACTTCTTGAAAACCAGCCACAAAGCAGTGAGAGAGTACACATTTTTGTCGATATTGTATGCAAAACAACGAAGATCTGTAAATGGATTCACAAATGTGGTAAGCAAATCCTCCACCCCCAAACTCCTACAGTCCCGCCCACACTCCTTATGACTCATGGGAAAGGACATCTGACCTCTCTGCAAACTTCTGTAAGAAGCGTTCTTTGACAAGGTCAGTGGCTCTTGGCAATGAGTTTGGAGATTGCAGACGACAGTTTCTCAGCCTTTCTCCAGGATACTGGTTATCTCAACAGTTGACAGATTTGACCATTTTTATCATCAATTGGGAGAGATGAACTTCGGAAAGGTCAGTCATGGCGATTTCATATAAGGCTGCCAACAAACAGTACAGGCCACAGTCCATCAGTCTATCAGTCAGGATTACCTATTTAAACTGCACTTTCTTTTGTCCTGTGCCCAAATGACACGGCTATGGCTGGCAACAGCGCACGTGTCTATGGGAAGGGGCTCCCATAGCCGCATATATAATTTGCAGCCACAACTTTTGGACATGGCCTCTGTCTCTGGGCACAGACTATCACTTATCTGGTAGTCATGATACCAGACCTCAGAAAGCCAATTGGCTAACCTCCGACACTCTGAACAGGAAGAGGGTTGACAATTATAACTCACTTCATATCCAACATAAATATGAGAAATATAAACCATGAACAACTCTATCAGTGTATGACAATCATGGACAATGATGCCCTGGTTTATGCAATTCTACCTCACTTTCTTGATACTTTTCAAGAAAAAAGATACATGTATTATGTTTGCTATAGCTGTCTGGTACAATAAACAGTCTGGTATAAACCACAAAATGAGAAATGATTCCAAAAAGCAAGATCCTAGATGTACTTTTGTCCCACCCAGAACAAATATTTAGCCATTTCCAAAATTTGGACAAGGGAAAAACCCACAATCAGATGTGGTCGGAAGAAACAACAAAAACTTTGGCAGAAAAACGGGTGGTAATCGGAAAATCCGAATGGCATACATGTTGGAAATGCGCAATTTCAAAGCAGGTTGGGGGGAGGGAATGAAAAGACCAGGATTGAAACTAAGCTTCACCGTGCCGTGCAACACAAGGGCGCACCTTAAGGAAGTGGCTCTGGAAAGTTTAGGAGGACAGGATTTTTTAGGCACTCCTATCGCTGGGGCAGAGAGGTTCCATAGAGGACAGAGGACAAAACACAAGTGACAACGTGAATTTACTCACAATTGCTTTCTGGTTATCGCTGGCCTCGATGCAAGCCTCCAGGTACTCCTCCAGAAGAATGTTGCTTCCAATAAAAACAATTGAAACCAAACAAAATATGTCAAATGCAATTCATAACAGCACTGTAAGTTTCACGTGTCATTACAAAGCTCAGATGGTGAGCTCCTACTGTGAGCTCTGTAATTCTGCGTATACTTTCTGAAAAGAGATACAAAGACACATTTCAGAAATCTTATTTGAGAAAAAAAGATTCACAGTTTAACATACCCTGGAAGCTTGTTCTCTTCCTTAAAGAGATCCAGGACCTCCCTGCGGAATGTAAGTGTGAAAGTAACGATCAAATTCCACCAAAGACACAATTGAAAAGTTCACCATTCCAATTCCAAACTACTACCACAAAAATCAGAGACATCTAATGTTCAATGTCAAATACTGCATCACAGAAAACGTGACAGGATCTGAAAGTCTAGAATTGGTGATCAGACATGGATCTAGGATTAGCAACAACAGGTGGGCAGGGTTCCTGCACCTAAAGGACAATTAAATTCTGTGACTTTTGCATGACTTTTCCATGACCAAATTATGAAAATCCATGATTCAATGCAGCAATTTCTTTGAATCTTCTGACTTTTAAAGTTGCAAATAAAAACACACGTTTTAGTACTTATATCTGATAACAGAAATCACACACAATGTTAAAAAAATTCCATGACTTTTCCATGACTTTAGTCATTTTTATCAAATTCAATGACTTTTCCAGGCCTGGAAAACGAAAACAAATTTCCATGACTTTTCCAGGCCGCGGGAACCCTGGGTGGGTGACCTGTCTTCAACAGAAGCCTGACAATGCCGTATGTCTAATCTGAAGATAGTAAGGCTCATTTCCAGAATACAATTTCTTCTGTAAATTGGCCCTTACCATGCTTTATCCAGTTGTTTAGCCTTAAGGCAGATCAGAGCTAGATGGGTCAGACTGCTTGACCGCCACCTGTAAAAAACACCCACAAGAGACTCAGTTGTTGGTTTAAGACAGGATACTTTGTTAATCGCAGCGCCTTCAAACTGATTTCTAACTTCATTTGCTATGAACAAAAGATTGCGGATCTGCAAGAAATCAAATTTATTGTTCACTGAACAGAGCACAAAGGAGAATTTCGAATGGAATGCTCAAGTTGCTTTGGGCATCGGTTGATGAGGGATTTTGGAAATGTTGGAGACTAGCAGCTATCCCCAAGAGAAATCTCAACCTCCTAGATCCTCTGACGTCCATCGAGAAGCAGAATCTGGAGAAATCCGCAGGACGGAGGAAGGTATCTCCAAGCCACTAGCACTTCACATGGGGGCAATACGCTCTTGAAAACCTAAGTGTCCGGTTGTGAAATTTTTCTATTGGTGTGATCAGTGAATGACTTACTCTACAGGGTCCCTCCTCGATTTTGAGGCCGCTATGACCAACTTGATTTCCATGGCAATGTCGAAGAACTCTGAGGTTAGCTTTGGGCCAAGAAAAACCAAATTAAAGTCTGTCACTGATGTATTTCCAATTGCACAAAGACAAACTGAATGCACAGTAAAGCTTACAAGTCCATACATGAGAGCATGGGCAATGCATCTGCACTGTCTTCTAATAGTGTTCAGTGTATTAGTCTGTAACTACTTAGATTCTGTGAGTCACTGTTATCAATGTCAAGTGGTTTAGACCCTCAGTGACTAACTTACCTTGTTGTCTGCATCAGTTGCTTGGGACATTACGGACAGAAGCGTTTCCAGAAGTGGCTGCCGGTAATGATGGCTGAAGTGACAAATGTCTGATTGACAGTAAAAACAAAAATTGATACTCTTTCCCAAATTAGCGATTGTATTGCCGTTACAACTGAGCCATCGTACTGGATTACAGGCCATTACTGTAATGACACTAAACTTATGGATAGCTGGTACGTGCAAGTTACACATCATTTTGACCCAATAGGTACTGGGACTTGCAAAAATGTACGTGCGAATCAGGTTCCCCAATGCTCGCAGTGACTGGTCTATTTTGCGTTTCGTAGGTATAATATTTTATGCTCTGCATGATTAGTGCTCGTAACAAAATGGTCCAACAGCTGCCTTTATCTACCAATTATAGTGTCGGCAAAGAGCCTACGTGAAAAGGCAGTTTCCTGCAATGACGACCTCTGACCCACGCGGAACTCAATTTTGATATTTTCACTTGCACAGATTGGCACCATATACTAAATGGGATTCTAGGATTTACATAGCACCTATAGTGTAGTTATCCAACATGAGAACAGAAAATTGTTGAAAATAATCTACGAAAAAACAAAACAATCACCTTTCCAGATAACGGCAGCTTTGTCGTATGTACCAGCTGTTTCCATAGACCTCAACATCTCAATATAAACTTGGGCATTTGGAATCAAAGCCTGTGATAAGGAAAAATTTAAAATCTTGGCTTCAACGGTCAAATAGCCCCCAAAATACAGATCAGGTACTAGTAAAATAATTTAATTCCCACAAAAAAACCACCAATTTCTTGATCTTAAGCTATTCCAGACCACGTTATGGCCAAATCGGAAGCTCAAACAATGAAATCAAGTGAATTAAACGATCAACACATTCGAGGAATCATAGCCCAGACTTCTGCTGCTTGAATGGTATATTGAATTGATGATCTTACCGAGGGTACCAGTTTCTCGTAGTACTCCATCATGGCATCCACACTGTCCATGAGACAGATGAGATTGAAAAATTTACCACTGAAAACAAATCAAAACATTTCATAATGACAACATTTCAAAAGTTATTAAAAATATTGCTACTTTTTGTGAAAAGAAGTTAAGACTTTACTGGGTTTTGTTGCTTTGTGGTCTTTTTGGTTCAGATTTTAAACAATGAGTTCCACAAATTTGCAAAAAAAATCAAACTGTTCACTTGTAGCACTCCATTTCAGTCTTATTGCTTGACGATATTAATCTCAGACTTTTACAAAATAGAAAAAAATTCGGACTTTTTTAGTATCTTCAGAGGTAAGCACTTATTTTTGATTAAACTTTCAAGATATTCATGAAGGACCCTTCCTGAATCCTCCAAAATCTCCAAATACGGTTTTCTGTCTGCAACTAACAAGGAGCACAAACAGCACTTGAGTTCAGCCTTCTGCAATCCCACAAAATCCTACAGAAACCTCCCGTCAGATTCTGTAAGGGCCTGGGAGGGGTGAGGGTTGCAAAATCCAAGCTTACTAGTAGACGTTCTGGGCAAAATAGTCGCCGGCCAGTTTGTAATTCTCGCCGGTGTTAAGCAGCAGGTCCACCCTGTAGGCAAGCTCCAGGTCCTTCAGCGACAAACACTGTCAACCGCAAGTGTCAAGGGAAAACAAGAAAACGACACGTCTTCATAAGCAGTGAAAAATTCCATCCAAATCGCAACTAAGCTTGAAGGTTTGTTTGAAGTCATTTCCACCTGCTTGTATCAAGTGAAGCGATATCATGCATGCCAAAAGAACCCCCAAATTAAGTACGACACAAAATAACCACAACCCGAACCCTGCCCCCCCCAAAAAAAGTGAACTATACTCACGATATTCATTGCATTCTTGAAGAAGAAAACTGTAAATTAAAAGGCATGAAAGTGGACAAGATGTAAAACAGTCCGAGTCGGCTTAAAATCCACAAATACACCGCTTATATTATGAAGGATGTTCTTTTCACCATACAACCCCAATTTTAAAAATGTGCACATGTTGGGAGGGTAGACAAATTTCAAAGGCCCCACTTGTTCGACGCTTGGAGTTATCGGAGCAGCTCTTGCCATCTCCATTTCAAGAAACTGATTGAAAGTGCTGGCTGGGCAGCTTACCGTCTTGTTCGTGTCTCAACGAAAAGCTGGTGCCATCAATGGTATCCATGATGTCATACAGGACATCACTGGGAGGAAGTGCTGGAGTGAAGACAAAATATCAATAAAGAGAGGAGCAACAAATTGAAAAATCACGTTGGGAAAAAGAACAAAAATTAAGCCAAAAAAAGTTAGGCTTTCCAGCCGTAAAATATTTGTTCAGTTAGCCATTGATGCAACAAAATACTTCAATTTTTGTTTGTATTGCTTTGATTTTCAACTTGTAAGTACAAGATTTTGAAAAAAGGTTCGATCATTAAGTAATCCACCGAATATCCAAATACTCGAATATCTGGCACAGGCCTAATATATGGACAGGGTTTACAACATTTTTATGATCCTACCATGCATTTATGAAAAGCAGTGCATTTAAAGTTTAAGTTTATGGTACACATTGAACTATGATGACTGGAAATGATTTCAAACACTCACAATCTTTGTAGAAAATCATCAGCAGAAGATTGTAGGTTCCTAAACTAGGCTCTGTTAACAAAAAAAAAACTAAATTCGGTCATTGGTTTTAAGAAATGTACAGCACATTTGACATGCATGAAAAGCTTGTACGGAGGTGAAAATCTTTCTCTTTTTAGCAATGTGACAAGGTCTATGGTAGCATCGTGTAAAATCTCTTTAGGAGTAGATAAAGTAATGAAAAAAAACGGTGCGCTCAACGTTTCAGACAGTGGACTGTCCATTGTCACATTTTCAATTCACCATAACCTTCGGTAGGTACGGTAGTCGTGAAAAAGGGTTGGCATCGTGTGATCCAAACTCTGCCCATCATGGAGGAGGGTTAGCGTGCGAGGGGCGGGATAGGGTAGGATGTTACAGACCTACGCCGATGGCTTTCATCTCGCTGACGGTCTGCAGAGCCTTCTTGCGCCCGACCACGCCCATGATCCTCAGGTCGTCCAGCATGGTGTTGAAGGTGCTCAGGTTGGGCCGTACCCCTTCCAGGTGCATTTGCTTCATCAGTTGCTGTTGAGGGGAAGAGGAACTGAAGTGAGCACCGACCCGACTCGGGGGATTCGAACCGCAAACCATCAGACTGGCGCTTCGGTACTCAACCGACCAATCGGAGCTGCCAGAGCTAAAACCTGTTACTGTGCTCTTATGAAAATCATCCATGTGGCTTAAAAGCCTCCAGCGGACAAAGGATATGACCTTGTGTGACTTGCAAGCATGCTTTAAAGTTCAGAGCACGAGCAGTCAGTGTATGAATGCGGCACTGACACAGTATCAGCAACTCCTTGGATAAGTTTTCAGCCGGCAAACTGACTGGTAACAGTTTCAAGGAACGATGAAAATACATCTTCACGTCCTGAAAGCGGCATTCTGACTAGAGCAACGTGCTTCAAGGTTGAAATCCCATTCACAAGAGCTCCCTTAAAAAGAAGTGCCAAATGGTCCTTATGGCAAATGCCGGGCCAATCAATAACTTTGGGGTGTTTTAGCAGGTGCAGTGAAGCGAGAATGAAGAGAGTGCCATAAAGGCAGTCTCAATTGTCAATGTTAATCTTAGTCAAGGATGTGAGACATGGTCGTAATCAAGTCCGCCACATCCAAGTCCGAAGTCCTTTCAGTTTGAGTTTGAGTCCTAACAAATGAGTTCCAGTCCATCCAAAAGTGGACTCAAGTACAGACTCAACTCAGGCCAACACTGCTTTACAAAAGAATAACAACTTCTGGCGAGAGTTTGCGGTTCAGTTTTAGTTATTTTCAGTGTTCAAGCAGGCCAGGGGGCTACTTACATATATGACCTTCCACCGCTCCATGTAATCCTCCCTAATGTAGACCACGCCCTTAATGAGGGCATTATAGGTCTGGACGTCAGCCTGGATTCCCCTCTCTTGCATCTCATTGTACATGATGAAGGCTTTCGTGGCTGCCCCATGCTAGATTATACCAAAACAAATTCATCTTTTAAAAAACCGAGGGTCTATTTAGTCGACCATTTAGGGACCAAGCCCTGGTAAATGATTTCATTGCTGGTAATCAATAGTATTTGTCGTTAGTACAGAGTGAACCATTGACCCTGAAATAATTACACAGGATAACAGAGACTGAGAATGCATGGACCACAGCAAGCAACGGCAACATGTGACCGACGATGGGATTTTGTCCCCAAAGAGCAGTACATCTAAGTGGGACGGTATTGCCATGGGCATTGGTTAAAAAAAAAACTGCAGTCATCGCTTGACCTTGCCCAGGCAAGGCAAGAGCTGACAGTCCACTCCTGCTTCCTACCTTGATCATGCCTCTGACCATGGAGCAGTAAGCGTGAGCATTTCTCTCTTGCAGTGTGTTAAACAGCTTCTCGATATCATTGTTCTCCCTGAAATTCGGAAGAGATTTTGCAACTTAGGGAGAAGCAAATTTCTAAAATTCAGGCAGAATCGCATAACCGGTGTTGAGCTGAAGACTGTTAAACTTTCTAATTAGACAAAAAAACCAGTAGCACTTGAACAAGAGGTCAGGATACGACTTAACTTGGGCCGGCACTAACTACACTCAGCCGCATTGGAAAGTTGTGGCTGGGGGCTTAATATAATACAATTGACTACGTAGACCGCTGGCTGGTGGCAGCGAGCCACTTCCAATAGATGCATGTGTCCCTGAAGCCGCTTGACTTGGACTTGGTACTGTAAAGAAAGGAGCTGAATTGCGCCCTCAATAGACACTGCATGGAGCCCACAGTATTTCTCCATTGGCAAGTCGAGATTCGTCATCCAATTAAAAAGCCGTCCAAGTCCTTCCAAACTCCATTCTATTCTGTTTTTTTTCTTTTCAAATTCACTTACTTCCATCTTGCTTCCCTGCCCGTTTTTCTTTTCTTCCACGCCTGACCTTTGCTGTCAGCTTCTGACGGGTCAGTTGACTCCGTAGATTCCGAGTTCTCCTGCAAGAAATTTTACACAAGCGTCAGGGCAGAACTCAGTGATTGCTGATAACCTCTCATTTTCAAGCTTAATGTGTCAGCAGATTCAGGTAAGACTTGTCCACCGTGTCCGAGGGTGAAATCATCAACTCACCGAGGCTTCTGCTTCTGCGCTTGCTCCTTGTTCTTCAGGCATAGGCTCTCCGCTGTAGCCATGGTAACACAGCAGGTCCAACAATGCATTGCTGGTTTCCATGGATACTGCTGACCCTGGCATTATTGAATAGAATGCATAAAAGCTGAATTCTGAATTCTCTCAGGATACGACGTTAAGATTTCAAATATTAAATAAAAAGGTAATCCTTACAGTCCTGGGGACAAATTTTCTTGGCTTCTGAACTGTAATGTGGGAAAGCCCCAAGCTAGGCTAACCCCCAAAAGGACATGGGCTATGTGCACGAATTCTAAAAAGTTGGCCCCCACAAAATACGTGGGTCCTCACAGTGATGGTCCTCTATCTAGTCACACACCCATCTGTGGTTGGCACATCCTTCTACATGGGTTCACACAGTGATGGTGCTATATCTAGTCACACACCCCGCTCAAAAAATAAGATAAAAACATGGTGTCTTCTTTCTTTTGTACCTGTGTCTAGGAGTTTGTAGAACATCTCAAGGGCCTCTTTCATGTCAGAATTTTCCACCCTCTCAAGCACAGCTTCCTCGCTGGGATCGCCAAACAAATAATGCTTTTCAGGAGGGTAGAATGCCTAAGTAGTTGAAATGAACACAACAAAAGGCCAGAAAAATTGGTTGGACAAAAAGTATTAGCATTGCCGATTTTATTCTGCCATTAACAGTGTTTGATCAGACGTGTACCACGGTCATACAGGACCACACTCTCACTGCTTAAAATGTGGCGACTACCAAAACCAGAGTGAAAACATCAACAAGATTTTGGTTCGGGATTCAAGATTTTGGCCTTCACCTTTCCTTGTGACGTTTTGTCAGACCATGTCTGCCTTTAGTTGGCAAAACACTACAGTGGATCGGAAAATGTCCAATGCCCGACCGTAGCTTCACGGCCACAAAGTTGCCAGTCTGTTTTAAAGCACCCGCCATTACCTCAACTTTAGGGCTGTCTCTTTGTACGGCTAGGAAGTGTTCTGGCCACTTGTTGATGACATACTGTGCTGCTTTTCTGCCCGATTCCGCTGCTAGAGCGTAGCGTCTCTGTGGAATAAACAGCCCAAAAATCAATCCAAATATCGTGAAACAAAGACAAACAAATGCAAAGAAATGTGTTTCAGTCCGAGTTAAATCAGTGTACAGTACATGTTACGTGCAACACTGCATGTGGGTGTTTAACTCACCGATCAAGTCATGTGGTTCCACAACAAATAAAGACTTAGAAGATTAGTTCAAAGGACAAGTTCTGAAGATGAGGAGAAATTAATGATTACATAAGACAAGCATACAGAAACTGGCCTTACCCTCTCCCCTGAATTTCTGGGCAGCAAAAAGGGATCGTCGTGAAACATGTACGGAGACGCTGTGGGATCCTGCAGGAACAAAATGCATGGTAAACCTTTTCCGATCCAATTTTTCAGGCACACAAGAAGGTTACCATTAAAACTGTGTCCAAAAAATGTCCTGAATCTTAAAAAAAATTACAACTTATTCAGCAACTTTTTCCGTTTCGTAGATTTGGTTAATGTAACTCACTCTTTTGACAGTACTGCTCAAAGCTTGGAGTACGGACGTTGGATCTCTGCGAGCAAAATATTGAGCATGAGATTTAAAATGACTTCAAAATACATTTCAAATTCTGAATTTGATTCTCAAAAACCCAAAGATAAAAACAGTGCTCAAGCAAAAAGAATGAGAAAGATGTAGGATTCAAAGATATCACATTTCTGAAGGTACTTACCTATTCTTCTTTTTGGGAATGTGAATTTCTTTCTGAGGTTTCTGAGTGGCAGTTGTCTCTTGTCCTAAGCAGCTGCTCAGATACAGATGCCTGTTTGAACAGAGGAAGTGATCAAAAGATATGTTTCTGTTTTCCTCGTTTATCAAATTTTATATTTTGCCAGCATGATCTAGCATTAATCGGGTCCGAGGGGAAAGAGTTCCATATACATACGCCACTTGCCCTCGTGTGCGAAAACCCTATGAGTCTGGTCTGAAAAGTTTCATGTGTTTTCTACGTGAAAGTCCAATATCTTCTCTGCTAAATTTGACTTTTCAGGTCATGTTATTGCTTTCAGGTCACTGTGGGGGAAAATTAGTGGCGTCCGTATGTGAAACTCCAAACTAACCATAGCTATGACGATTTATTTTGATTCATTCTTCAAAAGATACTTAATCGTTGCAAGATGTACAAACCTATGAATATGATTATGAAGACACGAGTACAAGGCAGATTTTGAAGGGGATTTGCAGAGTATAAAAACTCTCGTGGACGCCGCCATCGTGAAAATTATTGTCTTGATACCAGATATTTTCCCACGAACAGATATGCATTTGCAGGAGTCATGGTTGGGTACCTGACTGTATATGTGATTAGCCGGTTGGCCTTTATGTGACCAAAGAGGGCGTTCTTGGTGCCGATGATCGAGTTTGATCATTTGGCGCCAGTCTTTTCTTTCGGAGTTTCAAAAGTTTTGGACCTAGGTCTACATCTTTTCCCTCGTCACAAAGAGGTTGAAAAAGTTCGAGATACAAGTTCCTTAACAGTGAATAGGGCCCAGCCCAGGCGTATTATGCTCAAATGGCGTCCAACATCTGATCGTTAACATGGCAAAATGTCAGCGTCCCGTTCAATTAGACCCGACGAGCCATGCTGGCGGCGACCGTCGACGATCCCTTTCCGGCTTGCATGAGGAGCACTGACAAAGTAGAGACAAGCTAGAAACCCGCATCTACGTGACTACAGAGTTTTACTTCCAGAATACAAGACCTACACGTTAAGCAGCCAGCTCATCTGCAGGCTCGGAGACTGAAGCTGAACTCACAATCAGCTTCTGTCCGAAAACAAATTAACTTACACAACAGAACTGCAAGTAGGCCTCGTGACTTGCAGTTTCTGTAAGTTATAAAAACTGCAATACGGTAGTCTACAATTTTCTGAAAGATTGTCCTCAAAAATCGACACACCTTATAATTCTTTTTTTTTAATTATATTTTCAGTAGCTGCATTGGATTAGCTCCACAAAAATGTGGAAACAGCGCCATCATAACAAGCACATTCAGAATTTTGAATCACTTTTCCATTGTACTCGAAATGTGGGTGAGAAAGGCCCTCTATGGGTAAAACGGCCCTGAGAGTTCTGTACAGTCATAAGTTTAGGCCGATGTATTTTATTGCACACATTTTGTTTAATAGTCAAAATGCATAAAATTAGTTTATACAAACCATGAAGGGTTCGTAGCGGTCATTAAATTCCTTAATTTAAAAATCTTTAGCCTAGTTTTATTGTGGTTATGAAATTCCTAGAAAAGTCATTAAATGTTAGTAGAAAAGTGAATAAAGTCATTCAGTCATTAAATTTTCTTCTTGTACAGTTTGTATTCCATATTGTATTGCGTTTTTCAGGACACGTTTCAACATTTTGCTTTAAGCGTGCCGATCTGCGAATCACGGACACGCTGTTATTCAAAGCCCCGCGAAGTCACATCAAAGGAACGTGATCTAAGTCACAATCGAGCATGTTACTGGCGTTGTAGAATTGCACATATTGATGATGGAAGCCATTGAATAAAAAAGTCTTTGAAAATGGACCACAAGTCTTTGAATTTTTTTTTTGGGGGGGGAGGGTTGACGCTATGAACCCTGCCATGATATAACCAAACATCCCCAGAACCTGAAGGTTTGAAAAAAATTGTTACAAAATCCCTGTTATTAAAATAAATCTCTTCTTGTTTGTCAGTTTGGTGATTTTTTTATGCTTTCCTGACAAACTTGTCAGAAGTCGATCTCAAATACTTCAAAATTATGAAATAGAAACCTCAATCTGGCATGAGGGGTAAAATAAAACAGGGACCTTATGTTCCATCCTAGCCTATTCCCTATATACACATGAAATGCAGTATCCAGGAAAAACTATGTGGGCTCAATTCATTACCTCATAGTAAAAACACCTCTAGATATTAGGTAAGCCAACCCATACAACATAACATTTTCCCCGATATTTAAGACCCCTTTTTATACAATACCGGTTATCCTATTTAAGATGACTTATTACTGAAGCTCTCAAAGAAAACAATGAAATTGAACTTACACTTTGACATCGTTATTTTAAAAATATATTTAATTTTATTTTATGTCATCATACAAGAATAGAGAAATGTCTTCCACTTGGTAAGCATGTTGAAAAAATAAAATGTTCACTCTGTTGCATTTTTCTGTGAGTGTCCGAGTTCTTTTGCTAATACAACAATAAGAAGTTTGCTTTATTGCAGACACTGAGGTGTAGTCGAAACTTTGGAATAGTCCTCGGCATAAAGACAGAACCTGCTTGGAACACCAGGAACTAACTAGGCATGAAAGTTCCATGGCATGTAGCCTTGCTCCTTGAGCAGCCACTTCATGTTGCCTTGTTAAGTGCATTGTCGATTTCAGAAACTGCAAATGTCACCCGGCTGGTGTGCAGTTGTCCTTTGGGAGAATTCTACAATAGCCTTTGTCGAGAAGCAGCCTCGGGAGCCAAGCTGTAGTGCAGGCCCACCACGCAGTCTAGAGGAAGAAAAGCAGTATTTGATTAATCACAGCTGCCATAGTAACGCTTAATACAGCGTTGTGAAGGCTGCAAATGACAACAGAGGGGCCCTGACCTGTGTAATTGTCTGCTGAATTTTATCTGCGACATCAAAAAAAAAAAAAAAGGAATCATTGGGTTGTTTGTACAGGGAAATCGTGTGCCAGTCTGGGTCCGTTACTTGTTCTTCATTTGTCGCCAAGCAGGTAAGTGAGGATGTTGACATTTTGTGGCTTAGCGCGCAAACGTATTGATTTGTACGAATTGCCTAAGGATGCTTGTTGCATTTTACTGCCTTTTGGAAATAGTTGAAAAGTCCAAGAGATAGTTAGGCGATGTAATAATGTATAGTTTATCATGTACAAGGGAAGGAACATTTGGGTTTGTGTATTGGCCAATCACACCCAATAAAATATTCTCAAACGGGTAACAAAGTTTTAGCTGTGATGTTTTTCAGTGTGACATAAATTAACGACGGTTTGGAGGAGATCAGTCGGTCTTATTTGTTGAGTCATAAAAAAACAAATTGCTGCCTATATGATATGCATTGTAGGTTGTGTTAGGAAGAAGTCATTTTTGGCAACGCTTTTTAAAATTTCTTCAAGGAAAAACAAGCAAATTCATAGTTTTGACGTAGTAATTTAGAAAAATTATTGGTATCAGAGAAATCAACCATCATGATTGTCATTCCAAAGTTTTATGCATTCTTTTCAGGTGGACAGACTTGGCCCAAACGTGGTACTTCTGGAAATAGCTTCACCCAAACGGAGACAGAAGTGACCAAACACAGAAATGGCTTCGCCTGTCATCTTGGTTGCTGTTTTGCTATCATTACAAGGTAATGTAAGAGTTTAAATAATGGTAAAGCTAAATGAAACAGCATATATTTTGGAATCTTTGTGGTTTTTCTGCTAGTATAAACTTCCATATCCATTAGCAAAACTGCAATTCAGTCCTAAGCGCTGAACCTCAATGTTGTATTGATTTGTGGACTAAAAACTGCTGGAGTGGATATTTTGCTGAGCTGTAAATTTCATTTACTTTGGCAATAAGGCACGACCAACCTCTTCTAAGAAATGTTTTGAAAGAGCAGCATTTGGGTTCAAAATATGAACATGAACACCTGTGAACTGAATCGTGTCTTCACTTATTTACATCCCAGCAACGGCACCTCCACTTATACAGAAAATCTTGGACAACTTTTGGTGTTTATAAAAGTGCACTTTTCAGTATACTTAACTCCAAAAGATTTCAGTTTTCATACATTTAGGAAGACAATACAGGTGCACAAAAAGTAAGTCTTAGCAAATACATTGCATGGCTTCTTTCACCCTACACCTGTAGTGTGCCAAGGTAATTGCCAGATTGATGAAATGATAGTGTTCGTTCATAGGTATTTTAAGATACTTTGTGAGAGAATATTCACTGTATGCTCTCTCAAAGTCAGGTTCGATTGTTTGAAGTTACCCAAAATGCTCACTTTTAGGGAGGTTTTCTCTTTCCTTGGGCAGACGTCGTTAAGCGTTTAAAACTTGTAAACGTCCCAACCTTCGAATGATGAATTAGGAATCTCTTAAACGGAAAAGGTTCCGAATCCGTTTACAGATTTTCTCAAATGTTTAAACGGATCCGCCCCTTTTAGAGGTTTGACGTTTTGATAGATGCAATTTGGTGTTGATTTTTTTAATTGTAAACAATGCCTGATACATACTGTTTTGTCCCGTTTTGGCATCTATGTACTTTTGTGGGGGAAAAGCGGATTCTAATAATAAAAACATTAAACATTGCTTGTTTTAAATGCCCTGACATCAATTTATATTTTTACGTTGGTTAGACCATGTACATTGTTGAACTCTATAATTATGCATATATATGCAAACACGGAGGTAGGCGGCGGCAGCCTCTGTAAAGTGTTGGCTGATTTTGTAAACGTTCAAACGCTATGAGAAAGTTTTCTAAACGTCTTTCTACTCAACGTAAATTCCTACCACTTCCCACTAATGATGATCATTCCTAAACAATTTTTCTTTGTTGTGCAGTGTTTTTGTATGCAGTCCAGTATTATTATCACAGAACCTAGTAGATGGTAAAACTTAGATGAAATATTGTACAGTCTTTTTAGGGAATCGTTTTTTTTCCCACGTTACAGGGCTGAGTCAATTCGAATAAGTCACTAATCTAACATTCGTCCTTCAATTCGGACAAATATTCTGTTGTACTGACCGGCAGATTGTTGATGAAGAAACTACATACAAAATCAGATGCAATAACACACAATTGCACAGATTCATTATAATCGCTATGATATAGCTTCTCACGTCTAGGAGTACCGTACCTCCACCAATGATTTAGCAAAATTTAAGAGACAAACGCTACTTCTTACCCCGTTGAAAATTTACATCCCTTTTTAAATTTTATAATGAATAATTTACTTTTTGAATCGTGGTAAGATTTCTTTTGCTTTTCATTTGGCACAACCTTTTTCATTTAAATGAAAAAAGAAATTTCTTCCTTCCTTTTCATGAATTTGCATTCGAATATTAAAATCTGGAAAGTAATATTTGAATATTCGATAACCAATCAAATATTCGGATATTCGGCACAGCCCTATTCCACATGAGCATCATTTCAATGGCTATAAAGTTTTTGTTGATGTTTCTGATACCACATCAGTTTACCAACAGATGTTACTTCCAAACACGGGCCTTTTTTCTGTGCGTCCTTTTTGTTTTTTTAAATAGAAAATTATTCTCTCTATGTCAGAAAACATCTGAGATATCAACCAGTCTCTTGTTTTTAACTTTTAAAGCCAACTGTTCATATTTCATTTACTAATATAGAAAATTCTAGATAGAAATACACAGAGCCAAAAGTTTGAGCTCCAAAAACAGGATGTGTACCACTGCCAAGCACATTTCAGTATTATTCAAATCAAGGCTTGGTTATAAAATGCAATGATTTGTCTTAATAGCTGTTGCAGCCAATGCCTATTACGGCAAAGTAATAGGACAGCTGAGCACCCTAGACTACCAGGTGTCAGGAACTGTCTACGCCGTGGACGAAACCACGGTCATGATTCGGGGGTTCAACTACAACGGGGCTGCACCTGGTAAGATGCCTTGGCCTGATTGGTCGATGAGTCAATAAAATGTGCGCTTAATTTGAATTGTTACCACCATTTCCTGTAGCTGTAAGGTTGCGCTTTTTATAGGGTTGAACAAGCCAAACTTTTTGTGGCCTGAACTTATCTACATCATGGGAGTTCTTGTGGAAAAGTTACTGTGAGAATTCAGAACTGTTGCGAAAATGTATCCCTTTTCTGGCGTAGATCCAAAGACGTCCCCCTCCCCATCTGACACCAAAAAATTTAACTAATAATGTAATAAAAACTGAATTAGCAATTTTTGATTTTTTTATCATGGATATAAATAAACAAATATATCCTACTACGCGTATAAAGGCAAACGCATCAGTAACAGTGTACTCCATTGCCTATACATGTGTTCTCCTATCTGCAACAATCAGACATGCAAAAAAATAAACCTCACGGGTTTGATCTTTCACCCTGCCAAAAAATGTTTGCATCAACCCTGCTTTTGCAGTCGAGTCCCACTAGTTGGAGTGTGGAGATTTAACACCGTGGTAAAAAGAACAAATCCATGCATCGTGCCAACTGCATGCTGTGATTCTGCTGTGAATGTCTAAACTGTTCCTTTATATTTCTTTAGAGTATTTGGGGGGGGGGGTTAATTAGTTGACTCAAGTGAACCAACCCGAAAATCACAATGACAAAATTGAAACTGGCCTGACTGGACTGAAGTGGGGGATAAACTGACCCAGTATGACCCAAGCTGGAGTCTGTTTTGGGTCGCACTGCATTTGTTCGATGTGAGCTAAAGAGTGGTTGACACGAGCAGAGTGTTGGCTGAAGCATTTTTTTTTTCACTGGTCAAACGAGGAAATGCAAGGTGCAGATTTGACCGATGTGCCACTGGTCAAATTATTGATTGGTGACCACATTTAGGCTTACTTCCTTCTTTCCACAATGTAGAAGATTTGTCTGTTCATGCCGGGATTTCTTTGAACAGTGCTTTACTTTGTACCTCTGTTGTTAGAGTGCGTAAAATGCATGAGGTACGAAACACTCCTGTCTGTTAATTATGTATAACGGGTTTGCCCTTACCCAACGAATATTAATAAGCACTTTATGCTAAGTGCTTGTCCGAGAGCTTGCGAAAAAACCTCACAAGCTTACTCGGGTGGGACTCGAACCCACGACCTCCTGCTTACTAGTGCAGATGTCTTTTCTCCTGTCTGTCTTTGGTTCCAGATGCCTTCCTGTGGGTGGGAACCACAAACTCCCCTAGTGGCAGCGGACAGCCGCTTTACCTTGATTCAAGGTGAGACGTTCGCAGAATATTTCTGCCTGGTCAAACCACTCATGCTGCAAAACTGGTTTCCAAACTATGGGGTTTTTTTTGGTCAAACTTTTACAAAATTATTTCCCTGGAAATTACATTATTTTGATTTTACGTAAGTCACAACCCTTTTTCTTGTATAGGCCTTGCTTCAAAATATATTATTTGCAACCATTGTTATTAAAGTTATTTGTAAGTTTTAACTATTTAGGAAATTGAATCAGTCCTCAGGGAAAAAAAAACTAGTATAATTCTTACAAGCTTTTCCAATTAACGTGCATTGATGGTGAACTTGCCCTCGTTCAAACTTGGCAGTTGTGAGATCGAAGACTTACTAGTGACAAAGCACTTTTAGTAATTCGTGGGAGCCTTATTACTCGGCACAGTTCGGCTGAGCATTGTTCACAAATAGGAGGGGCCTGGCACCGGCTTGCACGCCGCAAGACAACGCCACCCAAATTGAAAAAAAAAGTAATTCATCGCCCTGGGTAAAGACTCTCGTAAAGCTGTAAACTTGCCCTCAACTTGTTCCCACACACAAGAAGGAAACTAGACAGTCAATCACTCATGTTTATGTAGGATAGGCATAGACTTCACAGATTGTGGCATCTCGTACAGTATTCCTGTGTTATATCTGCTGCTAAAGAACTGGTGGTAGGTTTTCCTATTTGGTGTGTTTAGCCTTTGGTAAACAAAAGGGGGATTGTTGTTGGGCGTGTCAATATGACCAGTAATTTTAATTTGTATGGGGCTCTGGTGTTAAGTTGCCAAAGCCCTAGAAGGAAATACTGTACGCAACTTCCACCCACCGTGGATGGCAGCTGCAGGCTGTGAATTGTGGTTTTGCATATGGCCTTTAGCTGATGAAAGGGGGAAAAATTTCAAATTCACCATGACTCGGCTGAACTCTCGATTCAAGTGACTTGCCAAAAACGTTTTGTTAATAGGTGAAAAGGAAAGCAGCTGTGTATTGTTCAGGTTTTTTCAGGTTGTGCTATGAGCAAAGGTAGTGTATTATAAATTCACGATCTGTTACTTTGCCAGACTTTGTGGTCTACCGAAATGTCTATGACTAAAAAAAAGACAGGGCATGCTTCAGTCAGCATTGAAAATTTCAGCTTTTCCTCCCTAAATGTTTCTTCTTTTCTTTTTTCCAGTCAAACAAAACTGGGTGCATACAATGATGCTGTACTGGTTGTTTCCATGCCCACCGGCAACAAAATCACAGATTTCAAATGGCTGTCCGTCTGGTGTAGGCAGGTTGGAGTAAGTTATCATGTAGCTGCAGAAAGGTTTTAAGTTTGTCCCAAATTGAAAAATTAAAGGTGGCCCAGTGATACTTTTTCTACCACAAGATTGAGATTTTTGCCCAGATTTAATTGACCCCATGCTGATGAAATGCAAACGTCGCTGTGAATGTGATAGTGACCGACACGTTCCCGTTCTCTTCGCTGACTTCAGGTCAATTTCGGTGACGTGACCATCCCGGCCAACTTTGAGCTGCCGGCCGCACATGACCTGGGTGCTCTCGCGGGTGTTGCTCATGACGTGAATGCTGACAAGGTCATCATCTTAGATGCCAACACTCTACGCTTTGAAAACTTGATGTACGACGGCACCGGACCCGGTATATATTCTGTCAGCTGTAAAAAATATTGATGATGCAAAATTAAACTTACAGTTTGAAAAAAAAAGGAAGAGTTAGGCCTAAACATTTTCCTCTTTGCCCCTTATGCGTAGACACCTATTTCTGGGCCGGGGAAACCCAGGTACCAGACGAGAACGGTTTTGCCCTCACGTGGAGACAAGGGTAAGTGATGAATTCGTAAATGCAACTCTGTCTATACCTGCATGGGCACCTTGCATTTACTGCTGGGTGCGCCGTGTGACCCAGTCATGAGTCCAGACCAAGGCACGTGCATCTTGCCAGCATTTACATGCCTCCTGTGCTTTGGGCAAGAACAGTATATGGCATGAAAGCAGTCGCGTGATGTAAACAATTACCTTAGTGATCGAATATCAAAGATCATGGCTGCTCAATCTATATCATTTTGGAGCTTGAACACATCTATCCTGCCTCCTTTTGCCCATCCCGCCTCCATATTTTATACTTGGCCCCGCCCGTCTCGCCCCCATATCCCATGGCCACAGTGACTGGGTCTGATTAAACCAGGCCAGAGTATGAACATCAGCTAGAAAGCAAGGATATAGCCAACATCAGCTTCATGAACTTTCAAAAAGTGAGCAACCGAGAAAGTAATAAATTGTAAGTTTGAAGCCACCATTTTCTTTCAATTACGCTGTGTGGCTTTATTGTGTGCTTGCATTTTTAGCAACAGTCAGATAATACCTCGCGCATTCAATGGCGAGACCATCATCGTCAAAATCCCCCTGCCCCGGACTGTCTACAACATTTCCTACGTTAGCCTGTGGTGCCACCAGGCCAGGGTAGATTTTGGCCACCTCAAGATCAATGGCTCGCTGCTCAACGTGCCGGCGGTGGTCGGCAACGACGGCGAGGACTACCACGGCCCACTGATCGGGGAGTTCCTCAGCCTGGCCCACGGGGTGGCCGGCAAAGTGTACGCGGTGGACCAAACACGGATCATGGTGCGGGAATTCTCGTACGACGGAACGGCACCAGGTAGGCCTACAGCACAGGAAAGGAAACTTAAAAGCTCCCACCAAAAATTGTTGGCCATCCTGTGAAGCTGACACATTAACTCTTGTAAACTTTAGTTTGACCCCAGCTCTCCTGCCAATTCCTTAGAAACCTTCAGGAATCTTCCAAAATCTTCCACTGTGTACAAAAACCACATGCAGTGCATTCTTTAACTTAAGCCTTCAAGGGCCAGCCAGCATCGTGGGTGTCATAAGGCGGGACCAATGTGTATGCTTCCCTCCTCCCCCTCCCCTGGAAAATGAAACAAAGCCCCCCCCCCAAAAAAAACCGGAAATAAATCAAAATAAATGAAACGATAAAAGAGATGAAAGGCGGTGAAATTCTCAATTTGTTTGGAAGTTGACGCTCTTCCACTGTTAATGGTCTAGCAGTTTGCTGCTTTTGATTGCTTTGCCAACCCCCCATGCTTTTGCCCTCCCCCCAAGAAATCCTGGCAGTGCTCATGCCACGCAGTTCCAAACTGCATTCATCCTCCAAATTTCCCTGGTGGATTTTAAAGGATCTGCGATTGTGAGGCTAATAATATGGATTGGTGCACTTTCTGCAGTGAGGAATGTCGCTCATATAATGATCTGTCCATTTCAGATGCCTTTCTGTGGGTGGGGAACACCGACCTCCCAAGCCCAGTGGGGATGCCGCTGTACCTCGATGACAGGTAATCGTTGCCAGGTCAACTCAACTGTTGTCATGGCACACTGGTGACTCGAGTTCGGTTTTGTTTGTTCGTGGAACGACACGGTACAGTGCTCAGTATACATATAAAGAGTGGGAAATACACCGTACCTCAAACTGGTCACCCGTGTGTCATAGGGCTAATTTTGCCTTGAAAACAAGCGCCCACTTGTGTGTGTGTTTTACCATGACACATCAATTTGCACCAATTAGCATGAAAGCAAGTACACAAGAATAGAAGGAAACAACCCTTCCTGCATTGACAAAGCTCAAGAGCCACCTTTTTGTTTGGTTTCAACTTCATGGCCTAACCGCTTCTTTTGTAGGTCAGAGTACGGCTGTCCCTAAACTCTTCAGGTCAATTTATTATCCATTTGCTGATAAAGTGGTCCTTGAATATGGCAATATTTTGATTGCGTCAATGTTGTTTGCTTATTGATATCATAGTGGAAGGAGCACAGTGTGGAAGTTTTTCCTTTTGTACAGAGAGTTAGGAAGGGTTCAGTTGGTTCAACGAACTTAGCCAACTTCGACAAACTTTTCAACTTCAACCCACAAAGTTTTCTTGCGATAAATAAAGAATATTCATTCAGTTGATTGCATTAGAACAGGAAAATTTGTTTGACTGTTCTTTAACAGGCGAGAGAAGTTGGGTGCGTACGAGAATGGCGTCATTATTGTGGAATTAGTAAACGGATCAAAGATTACAGACTTCAAATGGCTCTCTGTTTGGTGTGTGGAGTTTGAGGTAATTTCAGGGTTTTCTGTCGTTTTGTCCTACGGAATGCATTGTAGGAGTGCAACTGAAAGGTTTGTTCTTGCCAAAGAACATGCCCCATTTTTGTTTGAGGTACCATTTTTGGCTCCAAAATGTTTGCCAAGGAGTGTGAGAATTCATCTTTTCAGCTGACAGCGGCTTTTTGAGTGCAAATTTGTTACCCTGAATTTCAGCTCTTTTGTACGCCTGCTCAGTAGAAAACAATAGAAACTTTTGTAAGTTGCAGCTTTTTGCTGGCTGTTTTCAGCTTTGTATTTGGCCACCCACGCCCCCTGTTGCCTCAAATTCAGGTCGATTTTGGCTACGTCAACATCTCTGCCAATTTGGCATTGCCCGACAAGGCTGACCTGGGCCCTTTGCCGACCTTGGCCCACGAAGTGAAAGCTGACGCCGTCTTCGTCTTAGACTCCAAGACATTCCTCTTCGTCAATTTCTTCTACGATGGCCAGGGGCCAGGTAAGTAGATAAAACGGAGAATGTATAACCGACAGTTTGAAGAAATTTCATTTAGATTCTGAAAACTATTTAACCAAAATTGTGGCTTTTCCAGCTTTTTGTGAACTTCAGTGGCTATAGAGAATAATCGTCGTCCAGCTAACATCTACATTCATCAATTAAAAAGTTGCATATACTTGTTAACTAAGTTTTTGATAATTGAAAATATAGCATCCCCCTTTTCCTATCGCTTCCTTCATTTATTCCCTATTGAATTTTTGATAAACTTATTACCATTAAGTTTAAGTCAAATTGTTACAAAGTGACTGATATCAACCTTTACAGAGATTAGTTACTTGTAGTTAATAAGTTGATACGTGTGGGTTTTTCATCAGACACCTATTTTTGGGTTGGAAACACTGTGGATCCAGACGAAAATGGCTACCCACTGAAATGGAAGGAGGGGTAGGTAGATAAAAGTTGTGCTGGAAGCTCATTGTTTGTATCAATCTTTATGGCAGAGCGATGATTTTTCTCTTTGCTTGATTCATGATGGCAGTGTTGGCGTGCATCTCAGTACGCCGAGCATATTATACACCAGAGCTTGCTCGGGTGAGATCTGAACTTGATGCCAACTCACAAGTGCAGATGTCCTAGCCACTTGACCTACAACCCTGGACAAATCTCGTTGGAACATGCCTCCTCCCTCGCCCCCTGTCAATGTTGCTTCTCATTGGATACGTTGTGCCGAATCTTGGTCCAATAAATGACTTCAACATTGCATGGGGGAGAGGGGGATCTTTTCACTGCGCTTCTCTTAAGGTGTTCCAACTATTTTGTCCGGGGTTGTAGCTGGTTTGATTCCATCAGAGCAGCGTGCTCTGCCGTCAATAAATGATGCCAGAATTAATAGTAATTATTTAAGTAACGGTGACAAAGGGTAAAATCAAACGTTACATCGTCCAAACTAGAAAAAGGGGTTGGACAGGAGTTCCAGTGATGCTCGTGTCAAAGGGCACGCTGTTGCTATCAAAGGCAAATCGCAAACAATTGACAGTTTTGCGACAAACTTGTATCTATGGCTTTAAAAATGGTTGAAAAATAAAAAGACATGGATGAAACTTTTGCAAAGGAAGAACACCGAGTGAAGCAGGCAGGACGGGATTTCTTTCAAAATCGTCCTCCCTCCACTTGGCCCCAGATTTGAGGATGTTTTGAGCCCAGTTACATCGTCCCCCAACCGTCAAAAAAATGGCTTTTTTCTCATCAGCCCTTCTCGGGAATCCAGGGTTTGATCAGTGGCATCTCATTTGCAGGGACAATCAGATAATCCCCGTAGGCAGGGTGTTCAGCGGGGAGAACGTGACTGCCCGTCTCGCCCCTGACATGACCATCTTTGACGTCACCTACGTCAGCGTCTGGTGCCAGCAGGCCAAGGTGGACTTTGGCCACGTCAAGTTCAGCCCCCAGCTGTTGAACATTCCGCCCTTCTTGGGCATGGGAGAAATGGTAAGAGCCCGCGACTGAATCCTGCAAAATGAGCCTGAAACACTTCACACAATGCAACAGTTTTGTATGGACTATCAGAAAATGCCATATCCTTATTTTGATGTGCCTTCCGAGCAGTGGCGTAGCCACCGGGGGGCCTGGGGGCACATGCCCCCCACAAATTCCTCTTTTCCCCCTTCCACACAGTCCGAGTACCCAAACTGCGCGGTGATGATAGACGACGAGTTCCAGGCCAGCTGGATGATCAGCGGCTCCAGCATCCAGATCCGGCTGAGCGGGCGGGTGGGCAAGGAGCAGTACCTGGCCTTTGGGGTCAGCGGCTCCACCACCAGGACCCTGATGGACGGCTCGGACGTGGCTGTAGTCTGGGAGAAGCAAGACGGCACAATTGGTGTCGTCGATTACAATCTGCAGTCAAAGCAACAGGTAATTTACATCTGGGACTTCTTCTTTTTTTCCTGAATACTGGTTGAATAGAAAGACACATAGGTGCTTGGTCCAAGCCGCAAAGAATGGAGGGAGAAACAGTTTACAGCGGAAAAAGGTATCTTTTTGTTAGAATTATGTAAAATTATGAGAATGATACAAAGAAAGGTCAGAAAATTTTTTTTTAAACAACAGTAAATTAAAACAGAATTAAAAGTGTTCCAACATCAAATAAAAATGTATTCACAGTTCGTAGTTTCACACCTCAATTTTGCTGAAGATTCCAAATTGGCTAAAATCTTATTTGAAGATCAGTGACAATATCGTTGACTTGGGGGTATAGAGCATTTTTCCCTCACGATTTTACTGTGTTTTACTCGAACCTTTTTGTACAGGGATATTCCGTTGAAATTTTTCCTGCAGAAAACAGATTGAAACTGGTCTTTCTAGAAGTGTACACTTTCGATTATGCCATACCTTCATCCCACGAGTTGATCTCGTACTTGTGAAAGGATTTAAGCATTCAATGTTGCTTACTGTCGTTTGTTGGTAGTGCACAGTGAGAGGTAACGGGGAGTGGGTGGGAGCCTGCGAGGACACCGTCTTCAATGGGGCAGACAACGTGGAATTTGTGACTTATTCCAACGTTGATGGCATCAGGCATTTTACGTACACTCGACAGCTTGTCACAGGTAAACTGCCGTCACGGGTTTCAGAAACCGTGAAATCAGCCAGCCAGAAGGTTTAATAGACATCCCATAGTAGCATTAATTCTTTGTAAGCCTGCTTTTCAATTGTCTTCCACAGTCACCCGTCCCTAGCCCTGTGCTTATCGCATTCAACCTTGGTAGTATTTTTCCCTCTAAATACCAAGGATAAGCCGAGCCATGGAAGCCTGCAGCCACGCCCTGACTTGGCTGCAGCGTGAAACAGGGCTGCACCTATGAAAAGCCAGTGGCTAGCAGCTGTAGCCTCATCTCGATAAACGAATGTGTAACGTTGTTAGCCACGACCATGTTCTCATTCAGACACAGGCCAACTCGACCAACGTTTCCCAAACCTCCAGGGCATTCAAGTGAAACATTGGTTGACCTGTCCTGCCAACTTGTGCCAACTTGCAGAGATGAAAAACGCTCTCACATAGAGAGGGCGAAAGCACACATGACAAACCACTTCTTCCATTGTTGTAGCTTTGAGATCTGGACCTCAAAACTCCCATCCCATTGTTCTGATTTCAGGCGATTCCCTCGACAAGGCTATTCCCATCGATCAGGAGGTGTACATCTCCTGGGCAGTTGGCTCCATCAACTCAGGCGGCAGAGTTGCCAAGCACACCAAGGCGCCTTTCAGTAAGAATGCCCGTCTTTGTACCTTGGAATTATGTTTGTTTTTATGCAATGGGCATTTTCCTATCACAAAGGCTCTGCCTTTCAACAAGTTAAAGCGTTTATACATGTGGCAATTTCTTTTAAAAAAAAAGACATGCATGGGCAGAACATGAAATGGAGATCGGTTATGAAATGATTTTTTCTTCACTTCTGTGAAACCTGTTATTTTGAAATTTCCTTTGAAACATCCTAGAAATGTCTCTGAGTGTAACTTTTGCTTCCAGTTCTGCAGAAGTTTGCCTGTGTTTCAGTTTACTAAAGCAGTGCGGCTCTTTTAACAAGAAAGTTGTTAAAATTTACTAATTTTCCGCCATCATTTTCCATGAAGATAAGTTTGCATAACCTGTTGCAGATTTTTTGGCATATTAAAATGTATGTACCCCCAAATGATGACAACGTTTCTACGTTTTAACAGTTTGGTGTTGTGAACTTCATATTTGCAAAATAACCGAGGAAAGCCCTGAGTCCAAAAAATTAAAATATTGTGAGGAGAGTGTATTCATTTTGTCAGTGCCTCGATACTAAAGATTCCAATTGCAGCATGATTCTAGGTGAATAACTCAACACCTTGTGGGTTGCAGTGGGTTTTTTTCACCACTATACCCCCAAGAAAATCTGGGGGGTTTGGCAAAATGTCAGATTTGCTTTAGACATAAGACATAGATATTTGGATACAGCCTCGTGACGGAAGACGGTATAATTTTCAATCATACAATCCGGATGCAGATGATGTCAAGCTGAACTTCGGGAGCGCCTCGTCCTCGTGTCCCCCCTTCACGACGAGTGCGACGCCCCCGCCGGACCTACCCGGCTGGCCCAAGCAACGCATCAATAATGAGCAAGAGCTACGGGTGGAGATCGGGCAGAACGGCGGACGGCGGGGCTACGAGGCCATCACGGGTACTTATAGTCAAGCTTCCCGTTCATAGTCACCATCCTTTTAGAGTTTTCATAGTCTTCTCTGTTAACATTTCGTTCTAGCCTGATTGCCTGGTGTTCATAGGCCTAACCGTGCTTTATCCTGCAATCATTTATCAAATCAAAGGTGGCAGTTTTTACTGGAGTCTGTTGAATTGTTCTGGCCATTGTAATCTTAGAGATTCTGTAAGCTGCAGGATTGTTAGGTTCTGTTGGGCTCAGCAGGCTTCAAACACTTTGTTGTTGTTGGTTTCTGTGGAATGCAGCATGCTGCATAATGTTGCTGTGGTTGGATTCTGTTGGGTTGAGTATGGTTGGGCACTTTTGTTGTTGGATTCTCTTGGATTCAGGAGAGGGATCACACTGATGTTTCTCTCACGCTGTTGGGTTCAACAGGCTACACACTTTGCTTTGATTAGACGCCATTAGATTCTTTTGGGGGTAAAATCGCGAGAATCTGACAGTGTTTCATTTCTCCACGCACACCAATCCCACAAATCTCCCCCTCTTTCCTTACCCAGGTAAAGTCGGCTGGGGTATCGCGTGGTTTGTCAACGGCCTTCTCATTCCGGAGATCTACGTCGTGCGCGGTGTCAATTACACCTTCACTGTCTTTGGGGGTGACGACCCCGTCCAGTCGGCCAGTTATCACCCCTTTTACATCACCAACGACACTATCGGCGGCTACGCACAGCAGACCGATGAAGAGAAACGGGTAAAAACAATATCTTCTGAAGTGATTGATGGATTAGTTTAACTTATCCTGTTTTCCTGCACGTACGTGCCGCATGGTTGTTAACTGGTTTTCAGACAGGTTTTCCAACCTCTGCATAAAAACGTAAGATCTTGTTGAAAATTTAAATTGAGACAAATCCTCGCATTTTTGAGACCCAGTCTTCTGTTGCAAAAACTCACCACGCTTCTCCTGGGTGAGTTGTCCAACGTTCCTCTGAGACAAATTAAGTAGACATTTTGCCCGGAACTTTGACCTGCATTCCAAAACCAGTACTCCACGACACAGAAATTATAAGTCAAGGATGTGTCAGTGAAAACTTTCAAACAGCCCCGGTACACGACACTTGTTTCACCTGTTGCATTTGTCACCCTCCAATCTTGGTGTATGTTTTAATTCATGGAGTGTCTACTGAAAACGAACTGTATCTGGAGGTTACCTCCTCCTTTTGACTAAACCATCTTCCACTCAATGCTGTTTGATTTTCAGAATGCTGTGATATATGCGGGACCACACAGTAAGTGCATCGATATTTTTTGGCTTGTTTCTTATGTTGGCATACTTCGGTTTATATATGCAAATTTTGGTGGTTCCAAACCATTTTTATTTAAATGTGCTGTTGCAATTATACAGTGATTCGCAACAGTTTAAGACTACCTGGAATTTTATTGGTATTTCTGTCACTGGGTCTGCGTGGTATTGTCTCATTGAATGATTGCTTAGCAAGTGTTTACAGTGGTGTATAAATTAGTGTAGTGCTATATACCCATTAATTTTAAACAGATTTTGTTTCAAAGGCAGGTCTTGTGTGACATTTTGTCTGTAAGACAGCATGGGTAAAAAAAGGCAGTCTAAGTAATTAGAAACAAAGGAGGGCACACTAAATAGACTGTTAACATTTCAGATCATGGAAATGTAGTCAAATAGCTGTTTAACCAAGATACTAAGGTTACACATTGAAAATAAACATAAGTTGCCCTGTTTGATTGGTTTAAGTTTGGTCTTTCTTCAGATTAATGCATTTTGTATGGGTGGTCCTAAATCTTTGCAAATGACTGTATGTTGGTATTTATGTGTCGCTGTCTCGTATGTTTATAGACAAAGCCAGCAACATTGTCACAGTGCAATCCTGTCGGCCCCCTTAAATGATGGAAAGTGCCGTGTATGGTTTTGTTCAGCCCGAACAGTTGCGTGTGATTGTTGCAATGCCCTTTCGCCACTGATGGGGGGCCGTCGGTAATGTCCAGCAGCAGCCTAATTACCACGGCCGCCGCATTTGTCATTAGGCTAGAGATGAGATCGACAGGCTCACGACATAGAAGGAGTTCTTTTCACCAAGCAACTAAATCTCATAATAATGTCATAAAGCTAATCAGATAATATCAATTTCAGCTTATTGCAAATGCAACTGTAACCAGTACTGATGAGGCAGATAACAACATTTAACATGATACTTTGCCCAATCTGTCATCAATTTAAGGCACCTTTACTGATTTTTACGACTCTTTTTTTATGCTTTTTACGACTTGATAACCTCTGATGACTTTCTATAAGTAACCCATTTCCTCTTTTCCTTAAACCTTACCAGCTGGCCCTTACTGTGAATGGAAAGCAAAGGTGCCAGGAACCTCCCCAGACCAGTACATCAACTTCCCTGAGTTCAAGGAGAGTCTCCAGTTGGACTGCAGAGATCCCAGTGCTGAGGGCACGACCTTTTCCTGGATGCCGGACGACAACACGCCCGATGTCGTCTATTATCAAGTATGATACGATACCTTTGTGTGATAGTTGCCTGTTCGGATTCCAATGTATTGTAAAGGTTTCTTGAAAAGTGCAAGCAGGAGGTTTTTTATAAGAGAAAAAAAGACGCTACGACTGCAGTCCTTCACAAAGTGGAACTTTACAAAATACTGACAGATGTTGGCCATTTTCAACAATTTGTGCAATATTTCTTACTGTGTCTTTGCGTTCCTGTCACGGGTGATATTTGGTACCTAGCCCAGCTGTGGTCCACATGATCTCTATGGTTGAACTCATGAACTTCATGTAGAAACATGTGGATCTGTAATTCCTTACTAATCAGCACACAGAGGTCATTGAAGCCCCCGGTGGCCATCTTACTGTGCTGACTACAAAAGTATAACACAAGCTTGCCGGCCAATGTTAACCAAATTTGTTCATGGCATCAGTAGTTAATATAGTAAGCATGCCAACCATTGCCGCTTTGGCACGGTAAAATGGCTGCTGGTGGCTTCAGTTAGTACAAAGGCATTACAAGTCCAGATTTTTCTGTATTGGGTCCATAGTTGGACATCAGTGTGTACAAACTCAATAAGAATCACTCAAGTATAGGGAGAGTAGACGTCACCCGATGCTACATGTAAAATTCGCTTGTAATGTAGTTATAGTCACACATGTTATGAAATCCCTGTGTCTTCACAAGCCATCCAGCATGAATAGGTTGAATAAAGAATGAATTCTCAATTTCCTTTTGTCTGATTACATCCCTTTTCCTGGTTCCGCCCCGTAGTGTTACACCCATCGGTTCCTAGGCTGGAAGATTTTCGTCACCGACACTGCAGTGACCCTGGAGCCCACCACGCTGCCGACGCGCCCCGGGACCAAGGTTGGAGAGACTCTGCCGCCCAAGGTCACCCCAGACAGCGGGGCTGACCGGACAGTGGCAACATCGCTGGCTACACTTGTCATCAGCTTGGTCGGGTTGCTGACATTTTACTAACACCTCAGCTTGGGTGGGATTGGGTGGGGATAGGTAGGAGGGTTTCTGGGTACTAAACGAACCATCAAAATGGGTGTGCGTATCTGTCTCAATCCTTGTGTGGACCTGTGCACAAAAAAGAGTCCTCATAGTGCAGGCAGCAAGGACCTTACATCATGTTTATAGGTTCACATTGAGGCAATTTACGAGGACTTGGGGGGGAGTTAACAGAAAACTTAAATTAAAAGAGGATTTTACAGTGTGAGTTAAAAAAGGGTTTCTTCGTCTGGTTTTTCCTCACTGAAAACAGCAACCTCGTCAAACAATTCTGAAAACTGTTGTTATTCTCACAAATTACAGCCACCAAATGGTGTAAATTTTGTTGACACAAACAGAAAGTTACTAACACTCCATAGGAGAGTTTATTTAGGAATCTTGGAGAGATTCAGAGATAGTGTTCCACACTCTTACAAGTTTTTACATTGTCTTAAAAAAATCAATTGCTTATTTTCATTTGTTTATCAATGCAATCATATTTGCCTAGTCTATGATATGATGTAGCTAACGTTAACTCCAGTAATCTTAACTTAAGTGCACTGATTGATTCAAACTGATCTAAGCTGATTTTGATCATCTTGCAGAACCATACTTGTTGCACTGTTTATTAACAATTGGAATGACTTTTTATTACCAATTCAGTTTTGTCTGAATTTATAATCAATTAGTTTGTCACTTTTGTTTGTGTTAATTTTGTTCTGTTCATTTCGGTTGACTTGTTCTGTGGCACACAGAATGTGCAGTCGTTTTCCTATTGTTTTAATGTCACATTTTAGTTGTTATTTTTTTTTAATGAAAGAACGATTATTGTATTGACCAGACTCCTACTTGCTCTTTCTCCGAATCGGCTGCATCTGGAGCGCTGGTCCTCGTTGACAGAGCTCAGCATACGTCATTCATGCAAGGAAGCCGCCGACACAGACAAGAGCCCGAGATTTTGTTGAAAAGCCCCCTTCGGTTCAGACACGCGTGATAAATATGGCTCGCACCTACCAGTTTTGAGCACCCATGGTCCCAATCGTTTTCCAACAGACTCTCTTCCTCCCTAGCTCTAGTTGATTTGTGGCTGTGCCTGAGTTACTTGGCTGTGGTTGGAAAGAAAGAGCAGATATGACCACAGAAGCCGACAGCTGTTGGCGTGGACAGGATTTTTTTCCAAAATGGCAAACACTTTTCCGGTGGGAGGAGGGGCAGAAACTCTCACCAGCAAGCAACTTACTGGTTTATCATTAGCAGAGGCAGGGAACCTCTTTGGGGGGGGGTTTGTAATTGGTGATTTTCATCCCCTTTCATCTCTTGTTCGTTCATTTCTTTTGCATTCTTTTCATTTTGTTCCATTTTATGACTCTCTGTTTCCGGAGGGGAGCGCCGCTCTACCCCCGTGACGCCCAAGCCGGTAGCACGCTAGCAGTTACCCATCTTCCCTATATAAGTGTGTGTATTATAAGGTTATGAACTGGGTACCGCGTTTCACTATAATTATGTTGAGTTTATCTTGTCGGGCCTACAGTTTTGATTGACCTGTATTTCTGTTCATCCAACCGTGCATTCAGCGCCAGTCAGGTTGATTAATTATAAGAGGCAACAAACAGGTGTTATCTGTTTCCGGAGAGTGGGGACCCCCGATAAATATTCCGGGGAAAACGTGCGGAATCAGGTTTGGACTGAGTAATTTTAGAACCAAATCCACACAGTTACAGACCTAGGTGGGATTCGGATAACTTAAAAATAATTCCTGAGAGAAATATGACCCCTGGATAAACATGTATTTGATTGTTGCAATGGGGATGGTACTGTCTAATTAATTTTTTTTAAGTTACATTATTTTGCGTAAAGTAACGTTACACAGTATTAGGTCCTCAGTCTTTCAATCAAAAGCGTAACTTGGCAGCCATGTTTATGTACTGAATTGTATTAGTTGCAACACAGTTTAGTAGCATCTTTCCTGTTTGACGCATTTTAAGTTATAACTTAAGGTTCAGTGGAATTTCTATGTTCAGTGTCCGTGAATTTATTTCTATGTACTTGTGAATTTTCAAACACGCACTTTCCGTCTTTGCTGTACCGAACGGAAGTGCACGTCACACAGAAGGAGGGATGTGTTTTCGTGACACCTGGGAAGGGGGGAGTTTCCTTGCAGGGCGATCTTATGGCAGATAATCAAAACAGATATTTCAATAAGATCATTGTAAGAGTCTTGCAGGTGATATATATTCCGAGGATAATTGCTATTTCAATCCTGATTTAATTTGTAAGAGAGAGTTACGATGTTATTTTGTTACAATCCCTACTACTTTCGTATTGATTTTACATGCATTCACATAATGGTTGATGACATTTGTGAAACTGTTGAACATAACTGCTTTTTTAAATGCTGGTGTAAGTAAAATATCAGAATTCTGTGGACCTGATGACGCAGGTTGCCTTGGAGTTTCTTGTTTGTGTCTTGGGTATAAGATTATTCATGTTTCAGCTGTAACAGTGTGCATGCAAAAAGAGGAAAGCCGATCAATGTTCTCTTTGTTAAACCTAGTAAACGCTATTTGCTCTTTTTTTTACCTTATATGGATAGCTTTTCATAAGTTAATGCCTTCCCATCCAGTTTGTTCATGACATGTTTGTGGTCCGATTTCCGACTTAAGCTGGGATTGTTGCTGACGTCATTGAGTACGCACAGCCGCGACTGACGTCCCTGTCACTTTTCTTTCGAGTCCTGGCGATTCATTAATGGGAACTGTTTGTCGCTTGGAAAAGTTAGTCGACGCGGCAGCGATCGGAAAGCAGGGTTAACTTCAAAGTTTGTTTTGGTGATGTTTCCACAACCGACTTGGGTAGTGAAATACTTAAGAAGATTTCAGTCGTGTCGAAAGTACCTACAGTAGCCTGATGGGTCATATATTTGGCGCGTGACAGTGCCAAGTCTCCACCAAAAACACAGTTCGCCCCTTTAAAAGATTGTTTACGCCTGAGTTCCCCTCTTCACCATTCTAAACAGTGCGGCATCCTTGGGTGGTATCCGCCATACAGGTCCTCGCATACCTTCCCTGGCTGCGGTTCTCAGCAGTGCACAAGCCGTAGGCAAGTGTCAGCAGCCGCTAACTTCCGTGTAGGCGCTCGTGTAAAATACCGGCCGTAGCCCTTATTCGTGAGTGCAACTGAACGACACGGCCCAACAATACATACAGCCATTGTTACGGTTGAATAGGTCATTGCATTGTGACGATGGGAACCACAAATGCGTGGGTACACGAAAAAGCAGGACACGGTGTCGGCCTGTGGATGCATGGATGCATTGACGTCATTTCCCTCCTTTAGCAATCACCACTAGTGAGAGCGCCAATTAATGGTCCACCTTTTTGTAAGTTCACCAACTACTGTTCCGATGTCGACCATACCGAAATCCGACACCACCCGGTGAGTGGCATAAAATCCAACAAGTGGCGTGTATTTCTTCAGGGTTTAAGGAATATTTGTCGGGGCCATCGCTCAGTTAAAAGTGTTTGTGTGGATTGTATTTTCAGTGCCCGAACACACTGAATTTATATCGGACTGGCAGGCACACAGCTTGGAGGTCTTCAAATTCCATTACCAATACGTAGTCTTTAGCCACATCATGGCTGCGACTGGCAAGTTGGGTGTTCTACTTGTGGCCGTGGTACTGAAAGGTAAGTAATCCACTTCATGGCATTCCCCGCCCGAGGTATTCCTCGAGAAGAGGATAATCTTTGCATGGAGCTATAAAACACATAGCTCCATGATCTTTAGCAAAACTTTTCCTTATCAAATCCGCCTCGACTTTGGAATTACCTGATCATCGCAATTCGGGGGTCATAAACACCAGCAATTTTACCTCGTTTAAAACCTTGTTCACCCCTTGAACTCAAACCCATTTTCTTGCCGAAATCCCCCTACAATCAAAAGGCTAAGGAGTCAACTCAGGAAACTTTCTTTAGCTTGTACATGAAGATGTAAATCATTCCTACATGGTGCGAAAAATGCCTTTTTATAAATTACATGCCCGAATGTCGCTACACACTCTGAAAAAGTTCTCCCCTCCCATCGAGAACTGTAGACGTGTACCCCTGCGGGATTGTGGTTGCACCACCAGGTAGATTCTCAGTGGCCATTGTCACTTTTTTAAGTAATCACCTGATCTAAAAACATTCTGTATAAAGGAACGAAATTTTTTATCACTTTAGCTCTTTCCTTTGTCTACTGGATTTCAAACATCCTGGAAATTAAAACTTCATGGAAACGCTCATGAAAAAATACAGTGACCTTTTAGGGGAGATTAGATATAACATGTCCAGTGTTCCGAGCAAAACGTCAGGTAGCCCTATGTTTCATGGTCATTGGGATATTACATGTATCTAAAACCTGGCAACTCAATTAACGACGACATGGAGACACATAATGCCTGACCTCTGTATGCACATTTTTACGAGTTCCGGTCTGTTCTTGAGGGTTGAAATAAAGGGTAGTATTTTTTGCATTGGTTAAGTCAGATAGTTTTTGTGAGATCTCCTTAAAAATGCTTAATTGTAAAAAGCCTGTCCATTGCCGAATTGCATATAGAAAGCGACACTATAGTTGCCCTTTGTGATAATTATGTCTTTCTCCTTCCAATACTGTGCGGCGAGGGTACGCACACATAATGCACAGTATCCAAGGGCAACATTATTTATTGGCGTCTTTAGCCTGGTTACCTTAGTAACGGCATTATGCGCTGTTGTTGAAGCAAAGAGTTTCTGGGCATATTTTGAAAAGGAATATAGCCGAGAATTTTCAAGAAGGGAGACATGGAATTACGACAGTTAGAAACATCTTGGTGTCAACAAAATGAGGCCATACTATAGAGCTATATGGGCCATACATGATAGAGGATTTTTAGTCCCGTGATTTTTAACGGTCAGGGTGCAATTACACAGATGTAAGCGGAGAGGCGCACGCGTTCGAAGTCCCTCAATATTCTGGCCAGTGATCTCCATTATTATGACTTTATACAGTGAAGATAAATGATTCTGGCATAGGATGAAATTGCCAATAGCAATAAGCCTCCTCAGATTTGAAACACCGGTACTCGTGCCTCTGCGGACATGGCATAGGCCTAAGCTTCCTGAAATGGCTTTGTCCGTCATGTTACGTCACGTGAAAACCATCTATTGCTCATCGTTTTTATATTACCTATTCTACAACCCCTGAATTAGTTCCTGTCGGCGCGGCTGATTGGTGGGTCGTCGATCATAAAGTGATCTAATAGTTCAGGATTCTTACCACGTTCTCTCTTGGGATAAATCGAGTGCTTGTTTGATAATTCAATTTTTTTTAATTAGGATCATCATGGTTGTAACTTTAAATCTCTTGATATTCCTTCATTTTTATAACTACAAAATTCAAAGTCGCTCCAGAATAGATTGACAGTGGAACACTATATAACAAGGTCCTTCACGTTTTACAAATTACCTTGTTGTAATAGTAACCGATACCTTGTATTATCAGTAATGGAAAACAAAGAAGAATAAAGACTTGGGACAGATAATTGTCCTTGTTTTAACCATGATCTTGTATTTACCAGTGCTCTCCTTATCTGTGTTCGACTATATTCCAAACGCTCATGTCGATTTCTATTGTACACCATGCCTCCTTTGATTGTCATATCTCGTATTGATTTCCACTTATTTCCGTTTGTTTGTTCCGAATCAGTCTGTTATCTCAGCTTGAACGACATCAGTCGTGGTGTGAATTTTATGCATGTTCTATTGTTCATGTTTTGTTTCAGCGTGCGCAAGTGTAGCTGCTCCGTACTACGGCGCGATTCTCGGTGACCTGTCCACCATTCATCACCAGGTTTCAGGTAGGGTGTACGCGGCAGACGCCGACACGCTGCAGATCCTTGGGTTCACGTACGACGGGTCCGCACCAGGTAAGCCCACCCTTTATGACTCTGCATTGTCCAATATACGAAACAATCTTTTAAGAAATGCTCAGTAATTGGCTAAGAAGAAAGAGCTTTGTTTTTCTTTGTATTTGTATATTTAAACCAAACGCCAAGTCCCCCCCCGTCAATCCCAGGATTTTTCTGTCCAATGGAAGTTTACACAGTTTATCTTGCAAGTGCAACTTTGCGAGAATCGAACATATTTAAGGTTCTTGCAGAGCGCGCATTTTTCTTAGACAGGTCAGCTCCAAAAAAAAAAGGAATGGCCTGTACTCCTTTTCTACACTGTTTAATGCACGCGGCTTAGCATGCTTGTGAACACAACAACAAAGCCATATGTCTGATTGAATTCAAATTTCATAGTTCGTAATGAGTGTCTTTACAAGTCATGCGTGCCAAGTTTCAAAGAAATCGAGCACGGCACGGCCGACTTCTTAAGGGGGTCGAACCCCCACCCCTCCCCCGGACGGTGAGATGGACCAGAATCATGTCCCGTTGAACAGAATAGAAAAATGCTTGTGATTGATATTATCTCCTCAACGCATCATCAAAAGGAAGTCTTTGGTTTAAAAAAAGATAACATTCAGAGCTTCAATTTGATACCAAAAACACCAATTTTCAACGTCTCTTTTGGGTATGGGGGAGGGGTCACCCTGCACTGAAATTTTACGAAGTGTACATACAGGTTTGATATTACATGTACATGTAATTGCCCACAGCTAGCCACATCCCATTCCATGTCCACATCCGCCAATATGTTCAGTTTATCATAACGCTGTCCTCTTGGCGGGCTTACTCCTTTCTCGTTTTAGATGCCTTTCTGTGGATTGGCACTTCGGCTCAGCCTGATGCAAGCGGGACCATCTTGCCTATTGATCCTAGTAACCCGTAAGTCATGTTGACGCAAGTAAAGCGGGGCTGTGACTAGGACTGTTAGAGCTGCATGAACCATGAGAAAAGGCGTACAAAGGAGCCTTTACGTTTTTTTGGGGTGCGTTGCGTACACCATGCGTCCACTTTCAAGGGCACAGAAATCCACTCCTTTGACATAGAGCACTCGTGTGCGTTGCGTTCGGCCGTCAAAATCGCTTGGCGCGAGTGTTGACGCACGTATGGCAAGGTGCCTTAACTTTTGTTTCTTTGGAGCGTGATTGAGCCGATCTTTACTTGTCTTCTTGCTATAGGCACACTATGCCATTAGATTGCCATCGCATTGTTGAGCGATGCTTTCGGCTCATATTAAATTATTTCTGAGTGGAGATTTGCTTACCCGCCGTATGCATTTAGGCCTAACTAGCACGGGATCTAGTTTTTTTTACGGACCTGGAATACAGTATATTTTTGTAAAACCTTCGGTCTACGCACTGATTTTTGTGACTGTGAAAATAATTACGAATTCGTGAAGGACGAATTTTAACAAGCACTCGACAAAGACTCAACTGCCGCAATTTGTGTTTTCTTCCAGAGGCAGAAAGTTAGGCAGATTCGACAACGCAAACATAATCGTAGATCTGCCGACCGGCACCACAATTTCCGACTACAAGTGGCTGTCAGTCTGGTGTCGTCAATTTTCCGTAAGTTCTGGCTTCAGAATGTTGTCCTTGAAATATCCTCAGCCCTATCTGCTCCGAGCGGAACAAAAGAGGGCGTGTTCTTTTGGGTACCCACCGCATAGGCAAGTATATGCGCGTTTGACGCTGAGTACGCGTAACTAATTTTTATTCCGGCATGTATGGTCATTGCGTACATGCTGAACGCATGCAAGAACCCGCTCCTAACCACCTGTCTTTCTTTTGCCAACTGGGGGTGCACTTCAGCTCGGGGGGGTACCCTACAGCCCGTATTGGGCGACAAGAAAATTAATGTCACCGAAGTTTGAGAGGCACAACACTCTGGTCAGCCACACAGATGATTATAAAACAAGCTCAAAGGCGAGCTTTGAAAGAAAGCTTAAAACAGCGTCAGTGAGCCCATGTTCCTAAATTCAACACATGCGAAGATGCCACTCCAAACTAACCCAATTGAGATTGCAGCCAGGGAGCATGTTATGTTAAGTTTTAATCTTTAGGCCATGAGTTCATCTTTCGAACCGACTTGTTCTGGACTTCAAGTTTGTTATTGAAGTTTTTGGGTCATGTGTAGCAATCTTTTTTATTAGCAACCTCAGTTTGAACCGACTCGGCCATTACAGGGAGTTCTGGTCCAAAATCTCAACTTTTAGACTGAAACACACTTGATAGTCTTGTGTATTTTTTCTTGTCTTCCATCCTTCCTTGAATATGTAGCCTCATGTACATGAGATTAATGCACTTTCTGTGCTTCAAGTTGCAGAGTCAAGGAAATCCGAGCGGTTGCACCGAATACCACGACACCTGTACGTGTATATACACATGTACATTGTACTTTCAAACTTCAGGACAGTCTGCATATAGGAAAATATTTGATTAATTTCCCCGCAGGCTGATTTTGGGAATCTGATCTTTCCCATGGGTTTCACTGCTCCGGCCGTTCATGACCTTGGCGCCTTACCGACGTATGCTCATCGAGTGCGGGCCGATAGCGTTAAAGTTCTGGATGCCAAGACCCTGAGATTCGAAAACCTCTTCTACGATGGCAACGGACCAGGTAGGAAGTTACCACCTTGTCCTTTGCGACATTGATTTAAATTGGTCAGTGGGATTTTTATGTAAACAATGCTGACTGGGTATTAGTCTATGTAAATTTGTGTACATACGCCCCTTCCTTCTATTTTTCTGTTTACCAGATGCTTATTTTTGGGCCGGAACTACATCCTCTCCAACCAGGGACGGTATTAAACTCATTTGGAAGCCAGGGTGAGTAATAATCTTTTTTTTCTTCCCAGGAGGTACAGGATTGACTCAAATGATGTCAATATTTAAGGTGCTACCTTCGGCAATGCGACAAATGACTATGATAGGGATATTCAAGGTGATCATGGTGACAGGTAACGACACGTACAGACAACATTCTATGACAGTGACGACTAATAATGCTATAAGTTGGAACAAGATGTTCTTTGGGATGGCGAAGAGGAAGGAATGGGTAACGGGACAAACCTGCTTTTATTTTCTATGTACATTCGGCCAAAGGGCGAGCGGTGACGAGAGAAGTTTCCCATCGTTGTCGCAATGTTGTCGCAACGATAATACAGACAGAGTGGCTTTCACAATTCCCCCTTCCCTTGATCCCGCTTCCCCCGTCCGTTGTCTCCCATAGCATGCCGGCCACAGGTACCAACCAACGGCTAGATCGCAGCTTCAATGGAGACACTATCGTGGTAACCATGCCCGATGGGATGACCGTGTACGACATCACCTACGTCAGCCTCTGGTGCGTCTTATTCCGGTCCAACTTCGGTCACGTGACCATCAACCCCAACCAGCTCAACGTGCCGGCTGTTCTCGATATGGTGCGCATGCTTTTTGGGATTCTTCACAATGTTACATTTCGAAAACCGTCCATAAATGATTTATTTTCAGTTTGAAGTGTCGGACATACATGTAGGGTGCAAAGAGACTCAGAGGAGCTGTTTGCTAAAACTTCAATTTTGGTGAGGTGACGTGATGGTGTGGCGAGAATTGGGAGAGGTGAGGTGAGCAAGGTGAGGTAGTGTTGTGAGATGGGGGTGGGGTAAAGTGGGGAGAGGTTAAGAGAGGTGAGGTCTAAATATTGGATGATTTTCAACGTCTGTTAGGCTCCCCCGTTCGATCACTGCGAGGTTCTCTCCGACAACGAGTTTCACGTTCGCTGGAAAGTGGAAGCCCCCAACATCAAAGTGGAATTGGCTGGTCGCGTCGAACCGGGCAACTACCTGGCCTTCGGTCTCAGCGGCTCAGATACACGGACCCGGATGGTAGGCTCTGACGTCACAGTGGCGTGGATGGACCAAACAACCATGAGCCCAATGGTTGTCGACTATAGGCTGCACTCCAGGGCGCAAGTGAGTTTTATGCTTCAAGAAAAGTCCCTCGGGTGTGGTTGGCAACTTTTTGGTTGACGTCACATTTATATCGCAAATAGGGAAGCAAGCTGTCAAATGCGAACCACCCAAGCAAAATACATGTACTGACTTTGCGTTGAAGACCTTATTCAAACTCTATTCATGCGCGTGTTTTTCTCCATGGACGGCTTGTGCGGAGGCAAGTTAACCCATCCTTAACAAAATCTTTATTTGCTCATAAAAAAATCATTTGTGTAGTGGCTGTATTATGGATCATGCCAACCGATCTTCGATGTGTATTTCTGCAGTGCTCCATTAACAACGGCTTTGGTGTCTGCCCCGATGATTTAGCCAGCGTTGGAGGAAGAAACGACAACGTGTTTGAAAAGCTGTTGTCGGCAGATGGCATTGCAATGTTCACCTACTCTAGACCACTGAACACGGGTAATAACTTCCGACGAGAACTGACGGCAATAATCAACACTTTGGTCATTGTGGTGTGGTGATACTCGAAACATATCAGAAAAAAGAAATTTCCAGTTTGTTGATACATGTAGTATGTTCACGTTGGCAAGTGGTTAAAATAATGCAACTGACAACAAACTTGTGAAATAAAATATTATTCCATGACATTTTCTGTAATAGTTTGAACAGTTACGTGCGTTGCTGAGCCCCTTCACGGGAAATACTGAACCATTTTTATGATTTCACATTCCTCTACCTGGTTTTAGGTGATTCTACTGACAGAGTTATTCCCACGGATGCTCCAGTGTATATCTCCTGGGCAATCGGCCCCATCAACCCAGATGGACTAGTCGCCAAACACGTCAAAATTCCATTCGGTAAAATGCAGTCAAGTATTATTTAGGCCTACGTTCGTGAATGATTTATAATTCCAGACATAAGTTCGAGTGACATGCGCAGCACATCAGCCAATCAAAAACATTGTCTATTAGTCCGTACTTCGCGTTGTCCTGTTTCCTTACTGGTCCAGTCTGTTCCGCTGAATTAAAAAAAAAAGCCTCTTATTGAATGAAATTTGGTCAATTTGTCTTATCCTGCAAGGGAGTTTGGTATGTTAATTTTTACAGATAACCCTCAAATCAACTTCGGGCGTCAGGGAACCACCAACTGTCCGGCGTTTACGGCGGTGGACAGTGGAAACCCGCTTGAGCCTTGGCCACCCTCCAGCATTAGCAACGAGACAAATTTCACGGTCGACATTGGTCAGTCTGGAGGCGAGCGAGGTTACACTGGCATTACTGGTACGATTCTTTGTGTTTCTTGAGTCACAAAATACCAAGTTTTACACGTTTTATATATAGTTCCTCTTTCGAATTCATAAATGTTGTGGGTTATTTTTTCAGTGGTCTTAGGCTTATCTGTGAGGTATCGAGTATACTTGTTCTAAATAAATAGTACAAAACCAGGAACATTTCATGCTTTGTTTGAAGTTTAGAAAGCTACAAACTTGAAAGCATGTCATGCGCGTCTACTTTGCCTTGCGTGTAGCACTGGATAATGAACAGCCCTTTTCTTCCGTAATAGGCAAGGTGGGCTGGGGAATAGCTTGGTACGTCAACAGCTTGCTTATACCAGAGATCACGGTCCAGCGAGGCACTACGTACACCTTCGAGGTCCACGGGGGCAACGACCCGGCCTTAGCGGCCAAGTATCACCCCTTCTACATCACCGACGACTCGGAGGGAGGCTATGTCCAGAAAACCGAAGCTGAAAAACTGGTGAGTATTTGGAAACGTACGTGTATGTCTGGGTATAAAGACACAGTTTTGATCAATAGCCTTTTAAAATTTCTGTCATGCTGCTTGGTTAAATTCAATGATAAGATTAAACTATGATTAAACAAAAAATGCTGCTTAAATGTATTAATAACAATCATTTTCGCAAAGCTCTTTAGTCCGAAGGAAAACTGAAAGATGACACTTATTTTTTGTGTTTTATTACAATGCAGGGTGTGACAATATACGCTGGACCAACAGGTATGCTTACTTGAAGATATACCTAAAGATATCGACTGTGTTTAAATTCGACCCCCCCCCGGAAAAAAGAATAGCTATCCTTAATATTTTGCCCGAGCACTGTCTTGGTATAAGCCTGTGTATAATCAGAAATCTTGACAATGCGTGTGTAAAATCCCGAAAATCTTCATGGACCCGCACAGTAAGCCTGCACTTTTTGCATCTGCGTTCATTTGCAGCGTCCAAAATTTGGTTTATCAGGAGAGAACTGAGAAGCTAACGACATGACAAGCTGATAGACAAAGCTATGAAAAAACTATCAGAGTACATGTATATTTTACTTCAGAACGTGAGATCGGGCCTGTCGTCAATGTCAACTCCTTTCTTATTCTGTACTCACGTAAATACAGAGGGAGCCTACTGTGAATGGGAAGTCAGGACACCAGGCACGTCACCAGACGACTACGACAATTTCTTGAGTTATAGGTACTACCTGCAGCGCAACTGCGTCGACGCCTCGCCGACACCGGGCCGTCTGACTTGGACACCAGACGGTAGCACACCGGACCTGGTCTATTACCAGGTAAGATGACACTGTTCGAGTTCTGACTGACCCTTTAACTTTGAAATGTCATCTTATTATATAGGGAAGAGCATCACCGTAGAGTCCTCTCTAGTACGAGGACACACAGACACCTCCTGATAAGAAAGCCCACTTTAAATTGAAAATGACAATATCTTAGTTTTGTTGTAAGAAGAAATTTTGAGAATCATACTTAGTGGGATTTCTACTTCTGTGGGGATTGAGCTATCGGCTTGAATTTGTCAGATTTGTAATACGGTATTTTGTCCCTTTTTTTTGCGTGTGTGTGTGTGAAAGTGTTACACACACAGGTTTCTTGGGTGGAAGATACGCGTGGTTGATCAGCTGGTGACGGCAGGTACAATGATGCCGGAGATTCCTAGTCTGCCAGCCACGGAAGACAGCTCTCAAGCCAGCAGCACGGACCTCGGGGCTAAGCCGTCCCCCACCAAGCCGTCCCCCACGGACGGCGCCACGCGGTCGGTCACCTTATCGGCCATCCTGATGGTCACCGCCCTGCTCACGGTGATGGTGTTTTAGCTGAGCGAGAGTCATCGTCGAAATGAAGCAACAGTGCAACTGCTTTAAAGTTTTTAACGCTGCCATTTTAACGCAAAATTTGTATCAAAATAATGCACAAACGACCATAAGTATAAACCTTTTTCAAAACAAGTAGCCTCCACAAAATGTCATCTTGTAAAAAGTTGAGCATATTTTTCATTTGAACATTGAAGTGCACTCTTTTAAACTGTAAAGAATAAAGCACCGAAAATAAGTGCAAACCTACTATAAAACCTGACAAATAGTACATATGTGAATGTTATTATAATTATGTAGCATTAATTCACTTCAAATATATAGTAAAACTGAAACTGTATATACTATTAGAATTCTAAGCTACAGCAAGACTGTGGATAAGCAATTCGGGCGTTTCACAATAGTGCGCCTCCAATAGTTTGCAAGGCGTTGGCCAATCGCAGTGCGCAAAATTTGTCGACCCAATGCGCGTTTGGAAAGGGTCGACAATTTCGAGCGTTGTGATTGGCCAACGCGTTGCAAACTCTTGGAGGCGCACTATTGTGAATCGTCCGTATTCTTCGAAAATATTGCTTGTGACGTTAACACAGCAACTGTGGCATGCACATGTACGTTCTTGTAAACGCTCAGTGTTAACATTAGTTTCAAAGAGTGTTAGGAAATATTTTCAAGTTATGTCTCGTATTAATTATGCATGTGGAGGGTTTTACTAGCTTCTTGGCAGTTTTAAAACTTTGAGCCAGGCCATATTTTTATTTTTTTACAGCCCTTTTAAGCTTGCCAAACCCGAATCTGTGACTGTGGCACATCAACAAGAGAGAGGCCTGTATATAGATTAAGCATTTGGGCACAGCTTTTTTTATCTTGGTGGTCATCTTTGACAGCTTTGTATACGTTAGAGATTCCGTCGACCATTAACATTTCATGTATTATCATTACACGCAAAACGGTTCAATCTACCCCTCTATAAACAGTCACATTCGGTCCACATTTAGTCCACTAAAAATTGCCTTGCCAATAATCATGTGCTCTTTTAAACGATCATTATCAATTGCATGGTCGCTGTTCATTCCAGCCGGAGTATCATTATTTGTTTCCACCGGTTACAGAAGAAAACTTGATTTCAAACCCAGTGGTGTAGAATTATGACCCTATTAAAAAGGCGCCAAAAGTTTAAATGCATTTCTACTCTTTTTATGTGTTGAACCACGACAAATTTATTGTTATGCATTTAGGAACGTGTTTTAATGCTAAGCAGAGTTGTAATGACTCGAGTTAATGACTCAACTCGAGTCAGACTCGAGTCCCAATTTTTGGTGACTCGACTCGAGTTCCGACTGGTAAAATGACTCGATTCGAGTCTCTGTGACCAAATGACTCGACTCAGGTCTTTCATGGAGACTCGACTCTCAAAAAATTAAAAGTGAAATTTTAGTTTGCTAGATACCTGTCACCCTTATTATTTTAATTTCAGTATGTCTAAATGAAAATAAAAATACCAAAGTATGACTTGCATGTAGTTGTGTTTTTATTGTATTATGTTCAAAATATTGTAACTTAAATTGACTCGAGCTCAGTACTTGACTCGACTCGACTTGAGTCACAATTTTAAAATGACCCGACTCCAGTCACCAAATTTAGTAACTCGTTACAAAACTGATGCTAATCGGGTTTCAAAAAGCCAAACATGTTCCATGGAAAAGCCTTTAATATTTAAATACTTACCCAAACACATTTCAATGAAAATGTCATGAGTTAAACGAGTTGCTTTTTAAGTAAACTATAAACGTTGTTTTTACGGAGCAGTGGTATATTCAGCAGGCAATTTGTTCCCGGAGACACGTTGCTAAAAGCCCCCAACACTTTTGAAATGGTAACACCATCTTTCTCCGGAGCGGGGTTCTTTCCCGAATAAAATATTTTTGATCATTTCAAGTAAATATACACATTTTTCTCCCAGACTCGCAAGCTGAATATACGAAACTAACCCTTACCAATATAGGAGTCTGAGGTGGATCGCAGAGTGCATGGTGAGCCAGGCTATCCGCTTCGAGCAGAAACAACCCCCTCTTCGGTTGAAAAGAGCCGCGTTGGTCGGGAGTGTTCATTTTGTGACGTCAGATCAAATATTCGTGCGGGGAATTCACAAAAGTTGAACACATTTCAAATGGGAGATTTTTGGTGGAGTCAAATTCGCTTCGCTTTGACACTTGCCTATATGCGGAATGAACCCGCTCTAAGCTAGGCTCCACTCTGCAAATTTCAGAATTAATAACTGTCCACTGCGCTTTCAAATTTGTAATCGAGATCATAGACAACGGAAAGCGTCATAAAGGGGTGAGAGGTCTTTGTCGTGTGTCACGATTTACAATTGGTCTATTCAGCTAATTAGAAAGTGGATCTTATCATATAACTGCATTTGAAACTCTGTTTTATCTCTCGTCTTTATTTTGGGATTAAACGTTAATTTTGCACGCCGTACACATCTGACTATAATTTACAGCTGAACACACAAGAAATAAAAAATGGTAACACAACGATGAATCCTGTAACTGGTTTCTTCTTTTTAACGCCTGCAGGCATAAAAAAAAAGATCCCCCTGTTTTCGACTTTCCGGCCAAGGTCAGGCAAAAAAACAGAAAAAAGAAAAGACAAAATATTTAGGAACCTCGATCCTCATAATGAACGTGCGAACGTACAGTCTTAAAACGCTATCGTCGCTCAAATGTACAACGATTTCAAATGAGCTGAGTATTCACTTATCTCGCAACTTGAAAACCAAGAGAAGCCTGGCTGTTTTAAGCTTCACAACGGCCAATTACGTCGTTGTCTATTTTAACCCCATGACTCACACGCGCTATCAACATTCGACCAATCGTAGGACGAGTAGGTGACATCATGACATTTCGAGGGTTGCAGTTGCGTAACGATATACATACATGTACATGTATCTCATAGACTTGTTTACTCGCGATGCGATGACTCATGTGCAGTAGAGTACATGTACTCTAAGTACAATAAACGCCGTCGCTCATCGGCCCTGACAGCCATTCTATTCTACGACGCAGTTTAGAAAACGTGTGCTAAGATGTCGATCAACGAGCAATCCTCATCTACATGTAGCAATAGCTCAAATTCGTCGGATTCCGAGGAGTTATGCGCGCTTTCTGGGCTGAAACTGGATGGGGAAACTCCAGCATGCAAGGCAGACCTGCCACCGGCAGCCGACGGGGCAGCCGGCGGCGTTTCGTCCGGATCTCAGGCCGTCAACACCGCCACTGCTTCCCTCAGTCTGGCCGAAGGATTGGACAAGCTCCTTCAGAAACAACGGAGGTAGGCCAACATGTATGGGCCTTGGCTGCACTGCATGCTAATGACGCATTATTTTAACGCATTTTTGCCCATAGCATCAAGCAGGGTAGGACATCTCGCCGACAATCGACATGTTGGTGGCATGTATGTAGGATTGCGAAGAAGGTTGAACGAAGTTGTACCCCGCGGTAGTATGCAATGGTATACCTACGTTTTAGGTTATAGTTCTCAGGGTAGGGCATACTTGCTGGAGCAGGGAAAAATTAAGATTTTTGCCCATGGGTAACATTGAATATTTACAAATATATATGTAGGCTACATGCGTAGTATTAAAAATTACATTGCTTAACTAGCTTTAACATATATTTGACCTGGTCCAACCTGTGATCACTCTCTGTACTCTGATTATTGTTCAAAAGGAGTATTACATGTATGTCACTACATATAGAATGTAAAATACCTTGGCTTTGATAATAAAACAAGAAGAGTTCCATATACGGACGCCAGTACCTACAGTGACCTATAAGTCATCAGAAAGCAAAAAAAAAGGCCAGAAACATTAATTTAGGGGGGAAAAAGCCAAGTTGTTTACTTAGAAAACACAATTTTTCAGACCAGTCCTATTGGGTTTGTGCAGACGTCTGTATATGGAACCCTTCCAATAAAACTGACAAAAGGTTAGTTGCAGAAATTTTTGGAGTTGTCGGATGCTGGTTGTTAAACCTTGAAAACAGCAGTTTGTGGCTATTTTGAAAGGATATGGCTATCTGATGTATTGAGGAAAGAGGAAGTGAACTTTGATGCTGTCTGAGACTGAGTAGTGCCTGCACAAGGTGTGAGACTTTGGGTTTAAACAAGTCATCTGTCAAATTTGTCATAAAGCGCCAGGAAGCTTGGCCAGATTGTTTGCGTGGGCTATCTTTGGTGACACAGCGGCCTGGTCAGAGCTTTCCGGTACACATGTTTATATCCTGTGATCATGTGGTTGGCCATCTCTGGTGTTTCTCGCTCCCGTAGGTATGTCACTTAGCCTGGTTGTACGGGGATTACGGTCGAAAGACATGCATTCAGATCTTGACTTCCTGTATCGTCAGGTGCCCCTACATCCTGCAGGAATGCGCATAGGGAACATTACCAGGAGGTTGCCTATCATACTTTTCATCTAGAGCCTCAAGTTCACATGTGCTTTGAGTAAATGCTCCACAATTTGGATGGAGTCCTAGCTTTCAGTTTGAGATTTAGTCAATAAAGAAATAATAGACAAAAGATTCGCAAGTTACATATTTTCACTTTTAGGGACGCAGTAGTTATTCCTCCATGTTTGGGGTTAGGAATCTTTTTGCTGACCTTATTCTGTTATCTTCTCTAATGGGGAGTATTTGAGCAACCTTTGAAATTGAAGTTCTTTCATACTTATCTTAAAAAATTCAATTTGTTTTAACAGTGATTTGCTGTTTGAGCTGAGGAAAATTCAGCATGGCCACCGGCCAGTGACAAACACAGACCGGCGTGAAACACTGGAGGAGTTTTTCTCTGATGCTCTCAACCAATCAACTAGCGGGGGCCCCAGACAGCCCCAGGGCGGGGCAGAGGGCAGCGCTAGACGGCCGGCCAGCAGGCCCCAGAGCGTGCTATCTGAGGTCCAGGGTCTGTCGGAGCGCCGCCCTGTGACATCAGTCCTGGCCAGTGAGTCCTTCCGCCGCAACCTGGAGGATGCCATCCGGGGGTCGCTGGTGCGACAGGACCGCGAGTTGCAGCAGGCCATCCGCCTGCGGGCGGCCGGATTCGACGTGGGGAGCACGCGGGCGCCGACTGCGACAGTGGCAAACGCCGACCCATTCCAGCAGCACATGGAGAGTCTTAGCCAGCTGAGTCACTCCTCGTCAAGCTCTCATCCATCAGGCTTGGGCGATTTGTCAGTCTTTTCGCCGCCGCCACCCCCATCTCTTCCGCCTCTGGGCAGACCTGTGATACCTCCACAGCCTCCCCAGATGCAGGTTTGTTCAAAAAAGTTTGGCAACATTTTGCAAAAAAAAAATGCATGGATGCATGCAACTTCTAACCAAACACTTCTTCTGGAAAACAGTTTTGAACCTGCATGGTTGCACACGGCAGTGTCAAACTGTGGTATATTATGACAGTATCATGGGGAATACTAATATGAATGTGACATCTACATTAAACCAAACAGATGATAAATCAGTCCAAAATATTGTAAATTGGATCTTGTATTGTCTTCTAGTCTTGCTTTGCACCAAAATAAAATTGACAAAACATGGGATCAAATCTCAGGAAGTATGCTCCAAAGAGTTTTCAACAATGATCAAAACACATGTGCATGTGTTGATGCCCTGAAGATGTCAGATAGGGCAGTGCAAAACATCACTTGTGTTTCCTTCTCCATCTTGCAATGTAGCCCTTCCCTGCCCCCCAGTGGAGACCGCAACAGCCGCAGTGGCAGCCTCGGCCCTACCAACAACAGCCATGGCAGCAGCAACAGCAGCAGCAGGCCTGGCAGCAACAGCAGCAGGCCTGGCAGCAGCAGCAACAGGTCTGGCAGCCAGTGGTGCAACCGCAACAACCCTGGCTCGTGCAAAACAGGTACAAGTGGACGCCGATGACACCAAACAAAAGAAATTTGACAACAGGACTGTAGCACCAGGCCAGAGGGATCCATTAAAAATGTTCAGGGGGAGGGTAAAATTGTTTGGGGGGGTCCAAAAAGTCTGAAAAATCTGTGGAAAGCATTTTTGTTTACTTAGTCACACCATTTTTGTTCATTGTCTCTCATTGCATGCAGCACTGCACCAGAGCCGAGCAACATGGTGGCTTACCTGCAGCACGTGCAGCGGGAAGACACCGTCTTTGAGATCAGTGAGTTGGTTCAACGACAGGTGGTCTCGTCCATGCTGAACAGCAACTTCAGGGGCACCCTGGAGAACACTATGATGGTATGCTTTCATTATTTTGTTTTAAAGCATCTATCTATGTCAGAGTACAGGTTACAATATACCATTGGGAAAGTCCACGATTGTATGCAAATTAGGTCCCACAGTTGACGGAGATTGTACATTTGGAGACATTCATAGATTTCAGTGCTATTCTCTCTCCCTGTTGGGCATCTGGATAAATAATACTTGCAAGCCTTTTTACTTTACCAGTCTTTGTGAGGGCTGTTTGGGGACTTGCCCTGTGCTCTTTTCCATGTGGCTGACAGACTGTATCTCATATCCCGTAGTCGAAATGGTCTCCGTCCCTGTACTGTGCACGCAGGGTTGGTCAGCCCAACGGGGTATATGGTGCTGTGTCGTAAAAAAGCAATGTTCACCGCTCAAAATAACAGGGTCGTCTGCAGCAGACGGAGGCCGACGGCCTGAGCGTGCAGAACTTCATCCAGTCGCTGCAGCAGAGCCAGCCCCACAGGCGCAACGACTTCAGCCACCTGGGCATTCAGGCTCCCACCAGACAGCAGTCGGCACCCGTTTCTGCCGCTGGCCCCACGACATGGGTAAGAGATGGGACACTTGGCTCACAACCTTCCTCAAGTTGACTCAATTTGTCTTGGGCTTCAGTAGAAAAGTTTAGCAGACTGAAGACAAAGGAAGTTTTATTTTTTCATTACATGCTTCGTCCATTTTATTGGTTACATCAATTTTCCCCACTTTATTGAAAGAAAATTCTAAACATATAATTGTGCTGATTAATAGATGTGTATTGTTTGCATCTGGATCATAACAGACATTGTTCACATAAAACACATCGAGCAGAGAAATCCAAAAAGATGTTCCCATTGAACATGAGGCACGTGCCCACTTGGCAGGTTATGACAGCCATATCTTGAATAGGTATTTAACTATAGTGTGTACTTCCCGCCAGTGTGGTGCCACTTCCGGAGTGGCTTCTAAGGCTGTGGCTGAATGGCTTGGCTGCAGCTTGACATTACACAGGAGTCTCTGCTTGCGGCTGCAGCCACTTCCCATAGAGTGGTGCGTAATGTCAGGCCACAAGCCAAGTCATTCTGACACAGCCAAATTTGGGCTGCCGTGACGCTAGCCTTGAGGCACTGCGACCCCAAAGAAACACAGTTGAAATTAACGACTGTTTCTTGCATTGGCTGCTCTATGGACTTGCCATTTAGTTGATTTTTACTTTGTATCATTTTTTAGACTGGTTCTGAGATGGACACCATGCGTCGTCAGATAGAAGAGATGCAGACCATGCTGCGACTGACCTTTGAACTCCAGCTGGACATGCAGCGATCCATCAGACAGGAAGTGGCTGCTGCCCTCAGTGGCCAAACTCAGCCAGGTAAGAAAATTCATCCGTCTAGGGAAAGTTTTTTCAGTTTTATTTTCAGTTGCCCAATTTACATGAAAAAAGAAGAAAAAAAAAGAAGGGAAGTTAATGTCTTTCATCGACCACTGATTATTTTCTTAAGTTTCCAGCACCCATGCCGTGGCTGCCCCAATGCCACCCAGCCAGCCAGCTGGTGAGGGCCAGTGCATCATCTGCCTGGAGAAGTCGGTGGACGCCGTGCTGTACCAGTGCGGTCACATGTGCTGCTGTTTGTCCTGTGGGCTGAGGCTGAGAGGCATGGGGTCCCACTGCCCAATGTGCCGGGCGCCGATACGGGACGTGATCCGATGCTACAGGTGTCAGAGGGACTAAGAAAAGAGTGGGCAGCAGGAATTTGTGCACTCTCACGACGAATTGATGTCTGGCATCCTATGTATCTATATTTGCAAGAAAGTCTCCCCAATATGCAACGTTTTCTTTAAATCATTCAATTTCCTCTTTGGTTTTTTACTGATGCTGTTATGCGTTTGAAATACACTCTGCCCAGTGGTGTTGTAGATCAAAAATCATGGCTGTGATTTTGTGCCCAGTGTGCGCGATGTACACTTGTTTGGTGTCTGTTATTTATCCCTGACAGAGTCAGTTTCATCTTCACAAGTAAAGAGCCAATATCAGCTAGGGTTTGCGTCTTCTTCTGTAGTCCCGTACAACTTAAGTTCCCCAAACTTGAACTTGCTGTAGTGTGCTCATTTACACATCAGGGCAGTTCCAAGATATCTCTTGTAGAATTCTGTGCTGTTTTGCGCTCCCTAGCCTGAATGGCTGTTTACCGTTGAGTGTGTCTTTTTCGGTTAAAATTTCTCTAGATTGATACATTTTGAAGTTCAATATAGCCCCGATGATATTTGCTTGACTGACAGTATAGGTACTGATGTTTTCATGTACATGTATTTTAAGCAACAGCTTTATATTAAACACCATATATTCAGAACTTATACCTAGATTTTACGATTAAATACTTCTAGAATTCAAAGAGAGTGATTGTTTCACATCTTTGGGGGTCCAGAGGATACTTTTAGGATGGAAAGTTATTTGCAAATTTTAAAGTTCTTTGTTTCTTTTTTTTTACACAAAATGCACAAGAAGTTAATTAAAAGAAAATCAGACCAAGAGATCGCTGATTCAAATAAGTGCACATATACATGTACATCTTCAGAAAAGGAAGTGTTGAGGACCTGTACGGTGTCCCACTCTTTGGGCTATTTGTGTGTGTGGCTGAGCCTATGCATGGGGCCTTGTGGGGTACCGGAACAATGGGAAGTACCCCACAAGGCCAGTTTTTACCTTGTTGGGTACCTACCACAAGAATTTCACGAAACTGATATTTGGAAATAACTCAAAAAGGGGAAATTTTTGATGGGTAACAATCTGTCGCAAGTCGAAGTGTTTTATATAAGGGACATACGGTCGAAATTTCAACCCAGGAAACTGAATTTGGTTTAAATTGGAGTGATTTGAAATTTTTGCGTGTTGTGTGGGAGTTTTGTACACGAGAACAAAAGGAAACACCCCACAAGTATATCTGTGAAAGGATTGGTATGTGTGTTGAGGTTTTAGTAGGTGGACGGACATACTGGTAGGTTAAACCATATAACTAACGCCTTCCCGATCCCCGGCCCCCACAACCAAAAAAGCCAGAGCGCCCTCCTAGATTTAGATATAGATGCCGCCAATAGGGGTCGCACTTCCATAACAACGTTGCCAAAATAAGGCGCGCGAGTTTGTGCTGAGGTTTGACGCGAAGTGCAAACAGGAGGTGGGTTGTGTCTGATGTGTTTTTCTGTCATTGTTACAAATACGGTGGGAAAAATGACTCTGAGATTGAGTTATAATACTTTCAAAGCGGTTCTGTTCAAGAAAATTGAATTCTGGAGTGGTTCTTCAGCCCTGTTTATCAAGACTTTCAGCAAAACCTTCTCAGGCTAGAGCCTAGGTCGGGACTTTGCGAGCCTTAAACTTGTCTTGGTCTTGGACTCACTCGGTTCGGAGCGATGCCGTTTGGTCGTGAGATTTGCCCTTAGTTTTGGCCTCCAAAACTTTTCAGTTGGCTCCAACTTCCATGAATGATTTTCTACTAATACTGCTGACAAGGAAAGTCTGTTCGGGGATTGTATAGTTTGGACCCCCCCCCCCTTTTTGTCATTTACTACTCCAAATCTGCCCAAACTGGAAAGCAGGAAAGTCCTCCCCTCCAAAAAGGCAACACTCTTTTTATTGCGCTGACCCTATTTTTTAAAAATTCCAAATTGTGAATCGAGAAAAAATTCTTACTGTTAAACCAGCCATGCAAATTTGAATCTGCCATGTTTCACTTGTTAAAACACAGTTTCCCTCATAATTTCCCTAAAAACTCAAAACCCTGCCCTTTTTTACGTCAAACCTACATGATGTCAGTCATCTACCAAGGTGAATTCAAAAATTAGAATGTAGCTCTTTCTTCTATTAGAGGAACAGGGCCCCCAAATTTACAATCCCTATCCGTTCTTTGCTCTACTATTCTCATTCAGACTCTGCCCACGAGAGTCACCACAAATTCTGTCCTTTGGATTTTTCTCAAGAAGCAAATAAGGGCAAGTTGATGCTTGGGCCACTTCACGCTCTCAAATCCGTTTCTTTTGTTCGAATTGACATGCTTACCAGCCCTTATACATGTTGGAACATAGAGCTATGATTGGAATGTGTCCTTATGGTTTTCCCAAAGATTGGATCTGAAATACAAGCCGTAGGCCTTTAGGATGGGCTGTTTTCTTCTTTTTCATCCTCTACTTTTCATGGAAAGTTTAATCAACAACTGTTTTACAAAGCTGCATGAAGCGGTCCATCCTGAGAAATTTCTGTAGCTATGTCACCTTCACCATTTAGGCCTGCAGATGGCATCTACAAAGTATCTTTTCAAGCATAACCTTTTGGTGTCTGGCCCACTTTTTTTTTGCTTGATAATGTATAAGATTTGCTTGCTATTTTCATTCTGCCATCTGAAGGGAAGTCGATATTTTCACAGATTTGTTCTTGATAAATCAATTAGAAAAATGTAACTGAATAATTGATCCATGTATTTTATGGGTATTTCATTGATTTGCGCATACATGAAGCAGATTTCCATTTCACATTTTAAAACTTGTTTTGCTTGCACTGCCTTCAATTTAGGCTTCACTATTCGAAAGGGTTCACCAGTTTGAAGGGATTTGTTCTGAACTGCATCACGAGTTGCAGATTCTTCAAAACATGACCTCAAACACTGTAATCTATGAGGTGTCTGCCATCAGCAAGGGATGTTGAAGCTTATAGCTTTAAACTTTTCTTCCTTTTTCTCTAGCTGCCATTACCGGACACTACGGTATGTAGACTCGATGGAGGCTGGACATAGTCAGTAACGATGCTTTGGTCTTGTGTCCCCCTTCCCGTGTCCAGCTTGGAGATTGAAGGACTGAGCGGTGAGTATAATTTTTTGCCCTAGTGAACACTTCACCAGTTACCTTCAGGTTACTTGTGATGGCTACCATGTCACGTCAACTAGGCTGTAACTCTCTCAATGCTACAGCTCCCTGCAGAAGGACAGTGTGGCGCCCTCTCTTGAGCCATGGGAGAAGTACTTCCTCCCCATGCGGATTGCCACACTAAGTTTTTTTCGCATTGACTGAAGGAAAACCATTGCCTTACCAAAGAGCACATTTGCTTCTTGTAGAGGGAGGGAGGTTTCTTATCTTGTTAAACAAAAGAAGACAGGGAGAAATAGCACTGTCGATATACAGGTAGTGCAGCATGAACAAAATGAAAACAGAAGTCCCGGACAAGAGTTTCAAGTATGTATGTGGATGTGATTGGTCGATCTGCGTGATTGCTTGATCTTTGCACGATTCCACCACTGGCTGATTACCTTTTCTTTGAAATCTGCGGCGGTGGAAGATTGTTTTGGGAAAAAAATGGGAAGTAAAGTCTGAGATTTCACTCAGGATTAACTAACAGCATAATGTGTTCAACTGATCGTGCACAATCCTATGTCTGCTTTGCTAGGTGCAAAGCCGCGGGCATTACAGATGTGGCTTTTGTGTGAATGTGAGTGGACTGCAATCGGCATCAATTAGTGAAATTTGTTTGGTGTTCCGCTTAATGTAACGTATGGATGCTTAACAGTGGTCAGTTATGGCTTACAAAGTAATTTTGTCTGTCACAGCACCGTAACTGCTGTGGCAATTTTGAGGTAAGCGAAAATATGAGGAATGGCACTGGATTTTTCAAGCTAGATTTCACTAGCTTGAAAAATGTTTGAGATGGAAGAGGGAAATTTACCTGAATGGTCAACCTCCGTATCTTGGTTTGTACCAGAAACCAACATGCATGAGAGGTGAAATTGTGAAGGCCGTAAGTTTCTACAGTTGAATATGTCGCAGAAAGGCCAGTGTGCTGTGAACCATAATTTTTAAGTGATTGTTTGTTCAGAAAGTGGCATGCATTAGATCGCAGTGACCATTACCCTTGTTGTTAAAAAGGAAAAGTTTTTTCACCAATACATGTCAGTTGAATAGAAACAAGTTTCACAATACGTAATGTACATGTAACACTGTACCCCAAAACTGTGATTGTAGAAAGAAAAAAAAAATTTAATGTCGTTGTTGATGATAGCCCTGAGAATTTTGTTATTCATCGACACAGCGTACACATGTATAATAAGATTTGATCTTGTATTGATGCCCATTTCACAGGGGGAAAAAAATCCTGTTATGACTTTGATATAAAGTGAACCTTTAAAGACCTCTGTTGAAAAGATTGTTTTATCCGTTCTGTTGATGTGTTTTTCCCTGTGAACAAATGACTAATTGAAGATATGAAGTCCCCATTTCACGTCACGTCCACTTACCAAGTTGTCCTTATATTGAATTACTAATTGCTAAATAAAAGTTGAGCAACTTTCTAATAAGGGATGAAAAAACAAAATATTTAATCATAAAAGTGGAAAGATAAAGTAGGAAATCTTACACACAATAAAATAAATGAATAATGTGGGAAGGTGAATGAATACAATATGAATTAGTAAGTGCAATATGAATAAACCATGAAACAAGGGTTACTGAGTTTGCCCTTGGGGACACACTGGTGCATGTACATTCTTATGAAAGGTAAACAACTCGATTCAAGTCACAGTTTCACTTTCAATTCCACTGGCCAATTCAACGGGGCTCCTGCAAAGCTCGGGAAGGATTTTGTTTGGCAAAGGCACATCACATGCGACTGTGCAGTACCAGGCAAAATGCCACATGATGTGCATTGCCGTTGGCTGATGTGGTACCGGTACTCTGGTGGTTTTGGCTCAGCACATGACTTTGTCAAGCACTATTTTGTTCCAAGCGGGTTTAGCACATATAAGATGGTGTTGTAGTGCATGTGGTTAAAACCCCAGTATAAACAATGCATACGTCAAAAATGGCACGCTCTGTCGACGTCAGAGTGGTGGTGATAGCACAGATTTCCTCTTTTAGGTAACAGCAGAATTGGGGGTATCTACATGTAAATGTTGTCTTCAAAGCTACTTGTATGGGACATGTAGGTCAGCATGGTCATTGCTGGTCACAAACACTGGAGCATACTTTAAACAGCTTTACCAGTCGCCAACTATCCTGCCACAGTAACTTCAGAAGCTTGTTTCCCACATGGCCTTGTTTCAGAGAAACCCAGAGGAGCTTGGATCAGAAGTACAGTAGTCCCACCATAGAGTAGAACAGGGCAAGTGGCCTTAGCACAAGCACCCACTTAGCGGTGACAGAGGGAGACCAGGCCAACTTGTTGGCACCCTCGCCTTGCGCGCTAGGCACCCTTGGGTCACGTTTAGTCTGTGCCATGCATTGGCAAAGCAATGCGTGCGCACTGTGTTGACCCACTCATCATATCCAGACTTCCTGACACCAGGTTGTAGATATTTCTAGTCAGTTATGAAAAAAATCTATTTATTACCAAGTGAAAAAAGTGTATCTTAAAACTTTATCTCAAATTCCTGTTAACTTTTAAGATGAATCACACCCCTAATAGCTAA